GCCACTGCAGGGCGGTGGATCCTTACCCCGCCCCCCCTCCCAAAACTAACAGAAAAACACCTGGCACGCTACAGCTGACGTGAATTTGTATCCCCCAGACTTCCAGACTGCAAAATCAGACTAGATTTAGTTAATTTCTAGTTAGGTGAGAAGGGATATATTATGCCAAAGCATTACTTCAACGTTCATTGGAAAAGTTTCTGTTTTGCTCTGTTCTAAGAACGCTGTCTGGAATTCCCCTTCCTTTCTGAGTGATAGTTTTATGGTCAATTTGGCCTCTTTTGCCTTTATTCTTCTCAACTAGTAGAAAAAGGTACTCTTGACCGAAGTTGCCTCGAATTTTGTAAGCAGCATCTTGCGTCACCTCTGTAAACCTCTCCCCATTCCCGCCTAGGCTGACTTTTAGAGTGCGCTAGATGCACTATCAGCAGCATGTCGTTTACTTCTTCTTACCTCGAGTTCAAATTTTAGCAAGTGTATATGTTTGGCTTTACTGTTGTTTGTGTAATGTCGATGTTTTCGCTTTTATGGGCGTGTCCTAATGCGACATGCACATCGATGTCCTTACTGATGCTGCGTCTCATTTGCCAGCATACACCAAATGATCAGCATCGTTCAGATCTATCACTTGCTGTCTATTCAGGTTTACGGGCAAACAATTTCATACAGAACACATTAATCTACCCAACGGAACGAAAAAAACAATAAATTACTGTTTCCGACACGTCATAAGGGTAATTAAGATATCTGTTGTACTTTTATTTCAGACTGCCAGGTGGCGCTGCTCATATCAAAATTTTGACGCAACTTTATTGACCCGTTGCTTGGTAACGGAGTGACGTGAGACAAAATCTTTCTCAGAGATTGTTAGGGGATGCATATTCTTTCACTTAAGACCAAAATCTTAATAATCAATGGTTATTAAGGTCTCATTCATGTATTACTCCGAGTGTACCCCCTAAAAGAGTACCAAGTCAAAAACTAAACGGCTGTATGAACGCGTGTTTTTATTGGTGAGAATTTTCCCTTTAGCCATCCCAACTGATGTAAAACGTCAAAGCGGTGAAAGCTTGTTTGTAACTGATGAAATTAGGACGTAATTGTCGGCAGCCGCGCGCTAGGTCGGACGTGCACAGTCCATTGTTGTGAGTTGTGCGGTCGTAGGTTTGCAGCGCGGGAGGGCCTCTTGCGGACAGTTGCTAAGTGCAGTTTGTGATTCCCATAAAACAGGATTGTGTGTATAGAAGTCGTTGGCAATTTTTTTATGAGACGTAGAGTAAGTGTGCTCAACATAGCATGAAAGATATCAATTGATTTAATGTAGGATCATAGGGAACACGGTCTCGTAAGTCACTCATTAATGCATGGTTTCTAATGTATGGAAAAAACTCATGAATGAGACCGTAATACCAATGACTTCCAGACGTTACTGTTACATCTTTAGAATGTTTTCTGTGACAGTTTGGATGTGTTTGAGACAGGGTTGCTCAGATACAAGGTTCCCTGATATGACTGGTGGGACTGGGAAGGCACCTATCAAAACACCTGTTCCTACTCCACTCTTTTCTCACTATTTTCATTTGATACACAACATTCTATGATTTGACTGTAAAATGGCACCTTATTCCTATCAAGAAAGATTTCCCACTTTATTGCCACTATTTCTCATGAAGTTTAAGATACATCGATCAGGGCTCAAAATAAGGTCATTGTGATCTTAATTGTCTGAAGAATAATATCTTGATGTGGTGTTCAATAGCAGGAGAAAGGTGCATATTTAGCATGTGTATAAATGTATGTATGTATGTATATATGTACACATGTATGTATAATACAGTACATAATTTTAGCAACTCATGTGTGATTGTGATACAATCAGAAAATGTACATATTCTGATTGTAATAACAAATATACATTCTTGAAGAAAAGAAAAGAAAAAAAGAAAATGAATCCCATCAGTTAAGATTGGTCTGACATTTGTACAATACATGATACACAGAACTATATTTAGGTCATATTGATTCCATGTTGAAAGATGGATCTGTGGTATTGTGTAAGGTGTCTTCTGAGATGAATCATGGATCTTTAAGTGACAACAGGGTGATGAAGTGTTCTAGTTATTGGTGACAGTGCTTCTGCCTTGAGTAAATCTCAAATACTGCAATATTGAAATAAAGGTTGCTGCCAAATGAAAATTACCATGTGGTAGTATTTTACTCAGGAGAAAGTAAATGTTTACTCTATGCAATACCTATAATCAGTAGATACATAGACAGTACATGTAGTATAAGTTACTAGTGACATCACTGATAGCAACTGTATGGTACATCAAATCACTACTGTGCATCAGTTATGATTATACTGAGCATCAGTATCATTAATCAGAATGCTACTTTATGAAATATTTTAATGCCATGGAGAGAGAAAGCCTACATAAACATCAGAGCCATAAACTGTGAGAACCACAGCTGTCCCTCATCAAGTAGAAAGATTTATTCAACCCTCCTGCCATGTGTTACATGTTTGACATTACACTTAACTTCCCGCCTTTCTCAAACAGTGTAATAACCATGTACAGGAAATTGGTACGACATTTGGCCATGCTTTGTATTAATGGCTTGAATTACTCTTGCATACCTACCTATAGCCTAACAGGTAGTTGCATATAATTTACTTGGATGTAAAAATAAGACATATGATGTTTGTACATGCCCTAATTTTGCCTTCAAAATTTTGCTTATTTTCAATGATAGCTAACAATTTAGCTGGACTGGAAATAATTTTTTTTGTCAGAAAATTTTCAAGGTGCAATTTGGAAAAGTATTACAATGTAAGCTGTTACTTTCTACACATATGTAAAATATTATTTCTAACCTTTGATTCATGATACCCACCCTTAATCTTTCAACACAAAATAATTGCAATTTGCACCTGGGTATCTTGAGCCCTGAATTTAAGACAATCATGTTTCGAACTTCAAATCCTCTAACTGGTAACTACAAATCAAAAAGGCACTACAGTTACAACCTTTGCTGAAAACTAATTGTACATTGTACATCCAAGTGATGTACATACTGTATAAAAAGGCTATCCCAAAACTCTTTGCACTACTGTAACTGATGCCTGAAGTAGCCTGAATGGTGCCGATCCTGCTGAACTCTGACAACTTAACATCCATGTTATCAATATTTCATGCACTGCACACAAAACTACACCCTCTTCAGTAGGAATAATAAATCAGTGTCCATCTTTAATAGCTGTGGTATGACTAAGGTTACTGCATTTCAAACGGTTAAGCAGTCCAAAACTTCAATGGAACCATGATAGCTACATAGGACAATACTCTTTGAATATTACTTTGATAGATTCACACCTGTTTACTTCTTAAGATAATCCATTCTACATACAGACTCTTGGTGCTTGAAATCTTTTCACTGCCACTGACCTGGAAAGTTTGTGTATTGTATGAGATACAAGCTGTCGTATTAACCTAACACATGGTACTTGTATTCAGTTCAACCGTTGTCATTGTGCTTACTGTTCACAGTGATCTACAGAGATCTTCAATCTGTACTTAACATACTTGTTCGTTACCCTAGCATAAAGACCTGTACAGGTACATGTATATATCCCCCTTTAGGACTATCTTGGTACCTATTTTTTTAACATAGGAGCATGACAGGTGAACTATTTTCGAACTTGCTACTCACCAACCAAATGGAATTCACAGCTACTCGAGTTATGCTGTACACATAGTGACATATAAATAACTAATGCATAAAAAGCCTGCTGCAGTGCCGTTAGAAAACTCTAGGTAAACCATTTGCGAACTTGAGATTCGTTTCAACAACTGCTACTCACCTATTATTAAGTAATATCATGATTCAAATTATGCTGTTGACATACATACAGGACTTCACCATGGCCAACCTGAAAATACAACCTTTTTGCCAAAGGTAACTGGTAGTCACTTAGTCCATTAGTACTAGTAATGGCAATGTACTCACATACAAGGAATCTGCAAAATAAATGAAAAATGAAAAATGTAAATTAGAATAATAAGGTTAGGACTCAGGACATATCAAGATATCAGACTTAACCTTTAGCAGCTAGAATATAATGCCTGTGATGGCGAGCAGAAAATATTGATTGAGGATATTTGCTCAGTTGCAAGAGTGTTATCCCTATATCTGAAGCTTTTCAATACACGTAGTCTGTGTTAGCTGACAATTATTATTAGAAATTCAAGACTTTTACCTCTGTGTACAGACTTTTTGTACCTTGACTGTACTTGTTTGTTTGCTTGTTTGTTTGCTTGTGTGTCTATAGTAGGAATCACAGGACGTAAGTTGGAAACAGTGTAACCACAGACTGACAGGAAGGTCAAATTGTAAGTCAAAACAGTCTCTGGGAAAAAGTGTCACAGTAGAATATGCACAGAACCAGCAAGAACCAGTAAGGAATAAAAGATATTAGCAACAACTCAAAAATATTTCACACATAAATTCTTGCTTGATTTTCTTCCAGATCTAGGATTTCAGCTATGACTAATTCTTTGACAATTGGAAAGGTTGGTAGCTTGAACCCTTTCATTCAGTCAGCTTTATTTGGGTTCAAAGCGGTTAATGTGGAAATGTCAAACAGTGAACCTGAATGGCAGCACCTGTTCTTGTACCAGGTATTGTAGTGCTTACTAATTAATTCCCATAGGAAAGCCTGTATAGAATTCACTTGCTATTATAATTGGTATATATTAATTGCTATATTCATTTCATTTGTATGTATTGTAATATCATGAAGGTGATTTTGTACTTCCTCATCTACAACTGAATGAATAGATTTTTAATCACGGTAGTAATGTTGATATTCAGTGCTTTAAATAAACCTGCATAGTGACTTTGGGTTTGCCAAACATACATTTGGAAGACACCACTTTTAAGTGGTGTCTTCCAAATGTCCCTCCAGACATCATTAGAAAACAGATCTTCCTCCTTTGATGCAGCTATTCTACTGCATATTATGACAGGAGAACTGCAATTTGATCATGGCAGCAAATACAGGTGTAACCTCCAGGGCTGGAAATACTACCTGCATATTATAGAGCAGGTTAGTGCAGGTAAAACTGGAGTTGTGCAGGTGTTTCTTTCAGGTATTTTTGTACAGGTGTGCAGGTAGTTTGTTTGATAGGACTGGTCTGAAGAGCCTGACATCACCTATTGACCCCTCATGAAGACTCAGAGAAAACAACAATAGTGTAGGGTTACTAGTTGTTTGTTTGGAAGGCGGTTTAGTCAGGCGTTGCCTTTCTTTGGTAGGCGTGCGCAAACACAGTAACTGACAGACAACTCATGTTCGAGGTATTTGTTGTCAAATTCCTGGGTCAGAGCCCACATAGCTGACCCAAACGTGCAAAACAGGACTCTTACACTGAACACTACTACTAGTGCAAATGTTTTGTCAGCATAGATCAACTTGTCAGGTCTCCACGCAATAGCTTTTTGATAAGGTCTTCTTTACACCATCAATCCTAATGTTCAAAGTTGGATAATCTAGTGCTCCATTTTGGACAGTACGGTGGAATGGATGTTACAGGAAAGACAGAGAGTTCCTAAAAACATACTTTCCCACCTGGCTTCTTAAATAGACTCTCAATTTCCATATTATTAATGACAGTTCTGATAATTGATGAATGTAGAACTACCCCATTGTGCTAAGCCTTTGTTCATGGATTAAGCCAAGTTCATGGGTCACACCAGGTGGGGTCTAAGACACGCTATCGATTCACAAGTCATTTCAATGATACAGGTGTCCTTACCTCCTAGCAATAAGCTGTCACTACCATGTACTTTTCCAGATATTTCTAGAAATAAACACCTGCTTGAACTCTGGCTGTCTTTACCATTCATTATAGACACGTCTATAAGTGTAGCTAAATTGAATATTTTTGAAGGGACACTTGTATACACGTAATTTTTTGTACCGGTACCTTCTTTTGAAATTAAAAAAAGGATGAGAACTACAGCCATTGACCTGAAAAAAACATTGCATCCATAGTCAATTTTTCACAACACTCATTATCTTTTTCAACTGTTATCCCTTACCAAAAATTCCAAAGTTCATTTAATTAGTGATAATTGGCCTATAGGAGGAAATCCCAAGAGAGTAGGAAGTGGCTTTATTACTTAATCTGTTAACTGATTAGTGTAGTACTAATAGTAATACATTGTACATGTACCTGCAGATTAACATAATCTAATATCAATAATAGAAAACTCCAACTTTACTCATATGTTAGCATATTGTGTCTATGTCATTGATGAAGACCTCACCTAAATATATTTATCTGAATCTTTTTTGAAGGACAGTCATTGACCTTCATGCTGTATACATGTATGTATGTGCATTAATAGTATGCTAGGCCAATAAGTTGAATAAACAAGTACTGTATATATAACAAGGATAGTTTGTCAAACAATTCAAAACCTGACCTTTTACTGTGCTCCAGCTCACTCTCCTTCTTCTGCAGCGCTTCCTTCAGGCTGGTCACTGCCTCCACATTTCCCTCCATTTGTTTTTTCATCACTGAGAGGTCACTTTGTAGTTTTCTTCTCTCTAGTGTCATTTTCTGCAGCTCCTCGCTGGCTTTCTCTAACAGGGAGTCCTTCCTTTTTATGTCTTCCTGCATTTGATGGAGAACTTGAGACTCATCTGCGGTTAGTCTTGGTTCCTTGGTGGACAGGCTGCGACTTGAACCAGGAAGCCCAGAGCTTCTACCATTTGCAAACAAAACAGGTTCGTGATGTTTGACATGTTTGTCTCTGTGTCCATGTTCGTAATCCCTCAGAATGGAACGATCTGGTAAGGGCATCCATTTTTGTTTCATTGAGGGAAAGTGGTCACTTTGAACCAGGTTATCATAGTGGTCATCAGAATCCCATGTTTCATCCTCAAACCGTACAGAGGATCTCGCAGGCGGGAAGCTTGCGTACAAATTTGTGAAATCTCCATACCTGTCGAAACCCCTCGGAGAGCCCCTCTTCATTCTGTTGCGCCTCTCAGCTTCCTTAGCGAGTATGAGCTGGCGTTCCAACTCTAACGCCTCCTTACTGTACTGTTCATACACTGGGCTGAGAAAGGACATCCCTGAGCCAGGTCTCCTCGGGCTGGACAGGGATGCTGGGATGACAGACTGGTCCTTACCGGGAGGGAACATCTGTGCTCCATACCCAACACACTGCTGCATGTGTTCCTGCAGCGCTCCCAGCGTGGGGAAGCTGCGCGCGTGCCCGCACCTGGAACAGCTGAACTGCAGGTCAATGCCAACTGTATCCATGGCAACTCCTACCTGTGTGCCGGGTTACCAATCATTTTCACTTTCAGTGGGACTCAGACCATTGGGAAACAACGTCATCGTCCTGAAACAGAAAAACACAGTTCTGAAATGTGTTATCATATCAAACCGCCACATCACCCACAACAATGTAACCATCAGAAATATTTCATACTGACCTTTTGGCACAACTCTCCTTGACAATGACGTTAAACAACCCTGCCTACTGCACAACATTCTAACAGCATTACAGAGCTATGCAGCTGACATAAACATCATCTTCTCCATCTATTTCCGAAGGAATAAATGTGAAGGTTGAATCACTGTCTGCTTTGTACAGCGGAAAAAGCAGTGAATAACGTACATAGGAAATGCAGTGTCATTCCCATGGGGATGTCCAGTACACAACATCGCATGTTAGGCCCTGTAACAGCTGTCAGCTCCTATACAGGCTCATCCCTTACACGGCTACAAACAATAGTATCCCCACAAGCCCCTGCCTTGTGTGATATGTCAATGATCCATGTTCTTACAATGGCAGACATGACAGGTGTGTGTTGTCATCACCTATCTCTCTATTGTACCCAGCAGTACAGTAATGGCTCTTGAGTCTGATTATATCTGCACAAGCTTTGTGCTATGCTTATGAAAGTGAGACTTGCAGATCAAAACATACAATCAAGACTTCACAATCATGATATGCCCCTGGATAATGTTAGGATAGGTGTATCCTGTATTGTACATTTTATTTTGCATACTGCTCCAAGTTTACAGGTAGGTGAATACTAACAAAGACTGTGGTAATAAATCTCTTTGACTGTAGCAGATACATTGTGTTCTTTACTTAGGTTGATTAAAGTTGTATGACCATCTCGTTGGTCTTGGTCTGACACGCTGACACGCCTTGGGTCATTCAAAGTTTAACATTTTATGTTAATAAATATCCTACGATTACAAATAAGATTACAGATAAGATCGTACCAAGTCTATTCCAATTATAGTCTGACTTGCATATTATACAAAATGTAAAAAGCTGACCTAATTAATGCTCCCTGGTGAAAATGATATCATACAGGCAATACAGACTACAAACAGGTTGAACTACAAATTTCTACAATAATAAATGCCCTGCCATTAATTTGTTTTCAATGGATAGAGATTCTAACAAACAATATATTCAACAATCTAAAGGCTAACACTAATTTCAAAAAGTCATACATCACGTAACATGTATGATATATTTGTTACACCATAAATTTGAACTGGCTGTTGTAATTATATGCAGCATTTTCTTAGCTGGCATGCCTAAGTCTCTCTTTTTTTCCATTGAAAGATTAAATGTAGAGATGTCAAAAATCCTAACCAATGAAGGTATCCATTTCATGATTTGGGATAAGTCTTGCAATAGGAGGAATGACATTTCCATATGACATTTCCATATGGTCTGGCTAGCTTATCAAATGACATTTCCAGATGGTCTGGCTAGCTTATCAAACACAGCTTTAATATATAAGCTGCATTCTTTCACATTTGACATTACAGGGTGAGGCAATACAATTTATTATTATATTACAAAAGAGGTCCCTAGTCATTGACACCTGGGAAATTCTGAACTCAAAATATATACATGTATCATATTATATGATATTTAAACTAATTCTGTATCATTATAAATCAAGGTTTTACTCTCTTAAACTGGGCCTACACATAACTACATACCTTCAGCTATATCAAAGATTGTAAATGGTTTGGTGACATGTATAAATGGGGTTAAAAATCCCCATCTGTCAAATTACCTGTCATGACAATATGGGTCAAACATGTCAATGAATTTGGGCCATGGACAACAAACGATTCCACTGGGAAGTATCCGTCCACTTTAATAGGATAACAGGCAAAAACGTGTATATAGGCATAGGGGAATTTGAAAAAGGGTGTGTTAAAATTGTTTTACATTCTGCATTTGCTGCATCATTCTGCACCTTCTCATAAGAAGTTAGGCATCCAGCCTCCCATGGCTTTGCTCTCATTGCATGATTGCCCCAAATAAATGATAACATCAGCCTTCTTGGAATGGTGAAAGTCTCATAAACCAGAATTGCTGTGCTCTGTTCATTGCACATACTTGGTCAACAGTGCAACCTAATACTTGACTTCTTTATCTTAGACAACGCAGAAGGCATTCCAACCAGATAAACCCAGAAAAGGTGAATCCTAATGCTCTTCAGAATTTGAAGCTCGCAAGCTGTAAACTATGCCCACTGTGTACATTCAGCTGACTCACATTCCTTCCTGATGATAAAATCTGTGGGAACTACATTTGTACTGTTTAAACTTTAAAATGTTAGCACCTTTGCTCAGAGAACTGACACTTGACCCAAAACATTCTCCATTCTCTGGGCAGGTGCATGAGTACTTGACAGGTGTCAATCACCTCTGCCCCTGGAGGTCAGTTACCATGGTAACTATAAACACTTTCTGATAAAAAGCTACATATTATTACTACATTACTTAGTTCTTATGGATTTTATAATGGAAAAGACTTGCATGGCCAGTTGTACAGTTAACATGAAAATTTAAATGTAAGTTTTTCGTGAAAACGACACTAAGTTGTTACAGCAGTAAAATCAGTCTCGGCATCCCTCCCGGGTAGCATATAATTTTCCGGTAACAGATTTTTTTTTTTCCAAACTAGACGCACCTGCTCTAAAAATAAACGGTTTGTGTAAGACGGTGGTGCTTTGAAGATCTCATCTCTCATTTCAAAGAAAACAGCAGGAGGCTGTGGTTATAGAAACCTTTTTGCTCAGCAGTACTCGAGTTGACTTCACACAAAACGATCCGAGTCGAACCACGCAGTGAAGGCTTCGAGAATAAGTACAAGGAGGCAAAAAAAATCCCCAGATTCGGTCAAGGGAAAGCACCTGTCGAGGACCAAGAATAGCTTGGCTTCTGTACAGTCTCCTAATCTTTCACTAAGTCTGTAATGGACCGTAACTTACTTTAGACACGGTCGGATACGGCGATTGTTCCTCCCGGCTATACATCGCGCTGGCGACCGACGGAAAGCGTCCTGCGGCCGCCGCGAAAATTCCGGGTAACCGCCAATTTGAACACTAATCTTTGCTCACCTTAACTTGATCAGTAAGAGAGAAGTCTCCCCAGTTGGTATGATCTCGGTTCTGCCAGCATATTTGAAGAACTGAGGGGAGAATGCGAGGATTTTGAAGGAAAACCAGGTTTGTTGATCTAAATCGTCAGAACGCCCGGATATCACGGCGTGTTCTAATACTCACGCTCTCGTACCCAGGGTACGCCTCACATCTCCAAGTAGATGTTGGGATGGAATGTCATGACGTTTTTGATATTTGGGGTTTCTCCGATAGCCGGGGTTCTTTGACAACTCACAACAACACAGAGTATGGGCAATATTGTGTCGGAAAATCGCTAGGAATTCCGACTTTTAAAAAAAATCTGGCAAAAAACAGATGAAAATTTTGATCTTTCACCCAACATCTGCTTGAAGATTAACTCAACAATGCAGCTCTTCTGAAGCTCTTCTGATCGGTCCGAAGTTCAGTCACGTGACCTACCATACTGTCTACTTTCATCGATTTTTAACAAAATTCTACAGATGAACGTCATAATGTCTGTTAAGGAAAACATTTTATTTACTCTCTGATTCATTATGGGTTCACCACACCACGAAGTGGTGTGGTGAAACCATATTGCTTTTTCTGATGTTTCTTCTTCTTCTTCTCCTCCTTCTCCTCCTTCTCCTGCCATTTTTTAAATGGATTCAGCTTCTTCATTTTAGGGCCTAAGGTCCTGAAATTTGGTATGGAGGTACAGTGGGCAAATACCCCTAGGCGTTTTTTAAATTATTGTGATACAGGCTTTTAGAATGGTTTTATTTGAGTTTTTTGGCTGTGTTATAGCAAATGTATTACTGTGTTAGTTTGCCTTGTTTACCACGTTTGGGCATGAGTCATCAGAATGGAATGCAGGGCATCAACCAATAGGCATGCAGCTTTCCTCTATACTTCTTGCTGATTGGCTGTTGGGATTTAACTTGATTAACACCTGCACAGAAGCATTTCCATACTGACAGTATGTCTGTATTCAAGTGTTTTGGTAGGTATTTCAAGCTTTCCTGCTCCAGCATTGGAATGCCGGGCATGGTACGTTTTTTTTTATTTTGAAAATCAACAGTTTGCATTATGCAATTAAAAATCCTAACCAATAAAGTAGGGAATAGCTATCCAACTGTTGTTTTAGTTGTATTTTACTTCATATTATAGTTATATCAATGTAAATCATTGTTTTCCCTTGTGTTTCTCATTCTTTCCCTGCCATGTGGTAAAATGTGGTGAACCCATCGCTGTATTTGCTCCAAAGCAAATATTGGCCTTTCTAGTTTCATTGTGCTTTTGTTGCACCTAACATCAATAACAGTTGCGGGAGGTTGTACACTGCCCTGGGACAGAGACTCTAATGTTTTCAAAACGAGGTTCATCATGGCCGCGGGAAATAAAATTGAGATTTTCCTATGATTTTCGCGGGAAAATAGCGATTTCTGGGTTTTGTGAGCAATTTAGAGGTTGTCGATCGCAACTAAGTATTGCTGAGTTATCCTGGAATCAAGGTAACAATTAAATCTTATCGATTATAGGTCATTTTAAGGCAATTATGTGCTGTTCGTAACTTCGTTGCAAGCTGAAGTTGCTAGTTGCATGGCCCTTTGATCAAAGACCTGGACAAGACGTGACTTGCCCATCCCTGAACTTTGCTTTTAATATTCTTATGACTGTTTATTCACGTTTTGTATAATCAAGGTTGAACGTGTGATGCCCAATCTGCAGTGCACATCAGTTTTGCTAACAGAGGTCACGTTCAAGTTGACTGTCTTTAAAAGTTGACCTATGACCTGCAGCAGTTATTACAGTAAGGCCACACCAAGTAAATTTTATGGATGACGTCCTTTGGAGACCCTATATCTCATGCGAGAGGGCGAAAAAAACAAGAAGGGCCCTAGAAAACAAGATGCCTAGATTAGAAATATACTAAGAGATGACAAATGTTAGGACACAAATTGAATGAGGTGACACAGATTAACAAGCAAGAAGTCTTTTATTCATCATCAAAACAGCAATAAATCAGGTGGAACAGCAGTTGTCGTCCTGTCCTGTTTCTTTCATATTTTTGCAGGCCTGCAGAAACAAAGCATGTGCTCTTTACCCATTTCGCATTACAGGTTTCACGTCAATCTAACGATTTGCGGCACTGTCGTGACTCTTTGGTCATAGTTACAGGAAGCGAAATTTTTTGTTTTTTTTCTAGGAACAGGCCAAAATCAATGCGCGCGCGGACGTCATCCATAAAATTTACTTGGTGTGGCCTAATTTTAATTCAATAACTGTAGGATTTTTTCTTAATCTTGTTGCAGTCTGCATTTTGTATGATTTGGCATTTCATATGATATGAAATTTTGGCATTCGAAAATGATATGATATCTATTAGAACGTTATGTCTGGTATGTGATATGATATGTTAATCATTTCTAGTCTGCAATAGAATCACATTTCATACCCTTGTCAGGTTCAAGGTAAAAGCATCACCATGTCATCCCTGGTGAAGATGAGTATCCAGGGCATCCGGAGCTTCGGCCCAGATGACAAGGATAAACAGGTAAGGTCCGAACTGTCCAAGAACACCAATCTGGTCTATGTGAACAGATGGTCACGGTAGACATGACACCTGTGTTGAAGGGGAAAATTATCTAAGGGACTACCAAAAAGTGGTCACACTGGCCAGGTGGCTCTTATGTAGAGGTGGTGAGTCACTGGGGACTTGCACAGGTTTGACAGTACATTGATATAATGTATGAGATGCAAAACAAGGATCAAAATATCATGATCACATGTCTACAATTTGTGAATTGTTATCCTAGACCTGTGTTCTTTTAGGTTACTTAAAATTGCTATACATTGTACTTATTATATACATTATTATACATGTACCACAAACTGAGAGTCCCTGTTTTCTCCTTTATTTGAAGGTGATCAAATTCTTCAACCCCCTGACCATCATCCAGGGTCATAATGGAGCGGGTAAAACCACCATCATTGAATGTCTGAAGTACATGACGACAGGAGACTTCCCTCCTGGCTGTGCCAGGGGTGGGTCCTTTGTACATGACCCAAAGGTAAGACAGAAATTCAGGAAGCTTTGTACAAGTTAGAATGTACATGAAAGAACAAAAGTGCATCTTAAGTTTGATGGTCTTTTAGTAAGTTGTAATAGTGCATTGTTGCCCTGAGGTTTTTTTAATAGAAAGAACATTTTTTTCCAGATTGCCCATGAGACAGAGGTTAAGGGTCAGATCCGTCTACAGTTCAGGGATGTGAATGGTCAGCTGGTCAGTGTACAGAAGTCCATGATGGCCACACAGAAAGTCAAGAAGGTGGACTTCAAAACCATGGAGGGTGTCATCACCAGGGACAAACATGGCCAGAGGGTGTCCCTCAGCTCCAGATGTGCTGAGATAGAGAGAGAGATGATCTCACTACTGGGTAGGTTTGAAAAAATTTAACTGTATAAACTAATGTCAAACATTAGACATTAGAAATGCTACACATTCATGCACAGTTTTATAAACACACGTTTGTTTTGTATCTCTGCTGTTGAACAGGTGTGTCCAAAGCAGTCCTGACTAACGTTATCTTCTGTCACCAAGAAGACTCCAACTGGCCGCTCTCAGAAGGGAAAACTCTGAAGACCAAGTTTGATGAGATTTTTTCAGCAACAAGGTGAGAGCGCTTCATCGTTACCATTGCTGTGGGCAAGGACATAAAAGACAAAAAAGTATTTTAAGACCTGTTGCGCAATTCCTCTTAACACAGGTCAGAATGTGTATAGTTCACTTGGCAGTTGGTGTATTTGATAAAAGTTTTTGTTTTTGTCCACACCAGGTACATCAAGGCTCTGGAGGCCATCAGGAAGTTAAAACTTGATCAAGGCCATACCATCAAGGAGCATCAGGCTGAGATCAAGTACCTGAAGCAGAACAAGGTTAGAAATTTGTTAGAATGTGGTGTAACATAGTTATCATTACATGTAACTAGAATTTTTCATTTTGCGGAGCCTTCTTCTGTATATTTATCATAAGCCTAACTAGATTCCTAAGTTAACTCAAGACAACACAAGCTAGAATACATCATAACCTGATATAACTATTTACAGTACAGCATCTCTTGTTACATTTGTTAGGAAAAAGCAGCTGAAATAAAAGAGCAGCAGTCGCAGACAGAAGGTCGGCTGGCGGCAAGTAAGGAGTCCATCCGGCAGATCAGGCAGGAACTGCAGCCAGTGGAGGAGCGGATCGACAAGATCAATGCCAAGGTGAGGTACAAAATGTAGAACTTTCTCTTAAGTTCAATAACCTAATAGTGTGGTCAAAATGTCAAACTGATAAAGAAAAGAGGTAAAATTTCAGTAAAACTTCACTGTCAATTTATATTGATGACAAGCTGGATTCCCTGGAGTGTTGTTTTTGGCATGTCTGTCTGTGTTTCTGTGATTCTCATTATACACATTACACTATGGCCATACATCTTGCCATCTCTGATCACCTTGTTGAAGAGAGTTCAGCACATTCAAATTTGTAACATATTTCGAGGTCACTGGTAAATCACTAGCCATAAATGATGGTCAATCCACTTTAGTTGGAATATTGGGATCTTATTGCTTAAAGTCCTTCATTTGTACATAGATATACCCTGATAGTTAAGACAACCATTGTGCTAATACTGTAACTGCCATTACTGTTGCTGTCTGTAGGCGAATGAGATCCACCAGCTGGAGAAACGACTCAGCAGCTTACAGAGCAGGAAGACACAGATGGAGAGAGACATGCAGGATCTCAGGGACAACCTGGACAATGTCTTCACAGGTGGGGAAAGGAAGCTGGTTTTCTTCACAGGGCAATGAACTCATTTGTATCAAAACATAATGCTGATGATGAACATGTAGTGTATACTCCAAATTTTATCGTTAGGCGTAGAAGACTGTCTTTGTGTAACCTTTGAAAAAACTCAAATTTGGCCTAATGGCAACTTTTCGTGGAGGACCATGAGGTTAAGGGAACAAGACAAATATAGTCAAAACTGTCCAAGAACACCACTCTTGGTACTGATAAAATCTGGTCTACTTGAAAATTTGCCTGTCCCCTGTCAGGTTCTACGGAGCAGCTGAAGAGACAGCTGAGTGAGCACCTGGGGCAGGTGGAGGAGAACGAGGATGCTGTACGCCAGCTGGAGATGAGGATCGACCAGGTCACCAGGGAGTGTCAAAGGTCAGGGGAGGTCACATTCAGATGTATCCTGAACTCTAGGATTTGTTGATACCAATCAAAAGGAGTTTTCGTTTCAGTGAAACTGGTGTCACCGCAGCAGCAAAAACTTCCTTGTTGTGTTGTGGTCCCTTTTTTGCATTTCAAAAAAGTCTAGTACAATGAAAAGTGGACTGTGACTTGACATCTCGTCCTAAGGGCTGTGAGAAACACAAACAGGATTCAAACTTCCAACCTCTTGGTCCAGAGGCAAGGTCACTGAACTATGTATACTATGTTAGTAAATCTGTCCTTACCATGCCGCAGGTATGGCCGTGAGAGAGGGGACCACCTGGTGACCCAGGGTAAACTGCAGCAGGAGGCGGCGCTGCATGAACAGAACCTGCAGGACAGAGACAAGCTGGTCCTGACACTGGCTCAGCAGCTGGGACTGGAGGGGTTCAGTACTGCACCCTTCAACGACAGACGGGTGGGTGGGGTGTTTACATCAGCCTGGTCTACATCCTGTTTTAGCTCTGGTCTTCTCAAATCAGTTCCCTGCAGAAAAGTCTGGCATCTGTTCCCATCGAGATGTTCCATCAGTATTATTTTGTGAATCAAATATTTCTCAGAAGCATGTGTGGGGTTGTGTGGCATAATGGCAGCGTGTCAACATTGGGACCTACAGGGAATTATAACTGCCAGCTAGTGATATAGGAAACCAACGGAAGTTCACGTCTATGTTACATCACCACAGATCGCACGCTTCCACGAGTGCATGAAGCAGAGGATCGACGAGGCTGTTGCCATGGCGACCAGCGTGAAGCAGGATCACGAGGAACTGGAGGCCGTGGCGCAGAAGAAGGTCGATGACCTGAGGGACACAAAGACGAAGCTGGAGCAGACTCAGCGCCTGAAACAGGACATGCTGAACAAGAACAAACAGGAGAGGAGGGAGATCGAGAGGGAACTCAGTAAGGTGGGAAACTGGTGCAACATCTATGCCTGGAACTGTAATTTAATGTAGTTTTGCAGTACCTGTGTTACTTTGAAGCATGCCATACTACAGGTATCTACACTAGAACGTATAGGAGATGTAAAATCTTCATGTCATATTTCAGGTGGATGCCTCCACAGAGCGGATAGCCAGCCTGGCAGCTGACCTGGCCAGGAAGGAGCGAGAGCTGCAGCAGGTGGAGGAGTCGGCCCACATTCCACAGCTGAAGGAGGAGGTGCTGCAGCTGCAGGTGTGATTCATCACATGTCAGGAAGGAGTAGATGAGCATTTTGTGTATGGTTACATGTAGGTCAGAGGTGAAGACAGTAGTCATCTTCATCATAAGTAGGGAGAAGAGGGAGTCCACGGGCTTGGGCAGGCAGACCTGCAACCTAGTTTAAGTAAGCAGTTGGTTTGAATGTTGATGTAGTTGTGAATTAACTTGTATAAATCAAAATACATTTCATATTTAGGCTAATGAAACAAGATTGTATGTAATGATGTATACATAGCCATTAATGAATCATCACGATGACGTAACTGACATGATTTCCTCTCATGTATAGAATGAGAAGAGGCAGCTGGATGGTCAGCTGGGGCAGCTGGATGCGGAGCTGCATCAGATGCACCTGCAGTCGTCTGTACGCACGCAGCTGGAGATGCTGCGCAAGGACAAGGTGGCCAAGGAGGACAGCATCCGCAAACTCAAGCAGAGACACCAGTCTGAACTCACCGACCTCATGGGTCAGTAGGGAAGGGTGACATTTTTTTCTATATCATGCTATTGTGAACAATATTTAATTACTGAAACTAGGCTTTAAATCTCTACATAGCACTACAGGTCAGTGTTTATTCAATTGCTCACAGCTGCCAAGTGTTGTTACCTCTTGAGAAGGATGATAATAGAGTTACACTTTCATGTTGTAATGCTATAAATCTTGCTGTGGTTTTATTTTCACTGATTTTGTGTTGCTTCTCCAAGGCCTTATCATGATCACTGCTAAAACCTCCTTTCGACTGCTATCACAAAATGAAATCTCCACAAAAATAAAATTTGCTAAATTTACATTACTGCCTTTAGCACTTAAAGAGCCAACAAAATGGTATTGTGGCAATGACATACATATTGATCTTGGTCTTAATAGAAAACCTCTATCCTGTCCAGGTCATTTCCCCAGTAAGACAGAGCTGGTGGAGTGGCTGAGTCAGAAACAGCAGGAGATCTCCCAGAACCAGCGCCGCACACAGAAGGTCCACCAGGAGGTATCCTCACTCGAGGCCAGGAAGAAAATGCTGACAGAACAACTCAAGAAGAGGGAGCAGGAGTTGGACAAGTCAGTCAGACATGAAATAATGGAATAAAGAAGTACTTTTAACCCAAAGGATCTGTATCGTAGCTGATATTCTATAATTCTACCTCCAGTTTGCATGTTTGTTTACTTTCTTCCTGAATAAACTGGCACATGTTAATAGAGGATCAATTTGCAATTTCTTACTACTACTACCTACTACTTTAGTAGGTGAAAACCAAGTATGAAGTTAGAAGTTCCTTCCCTCCTGTGTTGTGCAGGTATGAGGAGCAGCTGTTTGATGTGTGTGGGAGTCAGGACTTTGATGTGGAGATGGATGAGCTAGGAGACCACATACAGAAACTACAGGTAACATATTAAATACATTGTCAAACATGATGCTGTCTTACACAGTGGTAACATAGAGACATGGATGGACTGTTGTCTTATAGTGACATAGCCTGGTGTCCAAACCTACTGTAGCTGCCGAGTGTCTTTCACCCTCTCCACAAATAGAGACATGTATGGAATGTATTACACGAAATGACAACATCCCACAAATATTTTGTACTCCTTCGTGTTTTTTTTTTTTTCAAAAACTTGATTCGGGCACATTATATTTTTAATGTGAGAATAGTGTGAGGTTACTGCAGTAGCAGAAAGATACATGTTTGTTCACTACTGTAAAACAATACTGTCACTTGACAGTTTGTACATAACTGCTGTTCCCAACAGGACCAGAAGGGGGCGCTGGTGGGCACGCGGCACCTGTACACCAGGTTCATCAGTGAGTTGCAGAAGGAGCCGAGCTGTCCGCTGTGTGAGCGCCGCTTTGGGGACGACCAGGAGGTTAAAGAGCTAGTCGACTTCATCAAGCAAAAGGTGAAGTGATAAGACTGAAAATGGTAGACTTGATTGTAATATTTGGATTTTGATACCGTTTCTTTTTCCTTTGAATGTGAGACTTGTGCCAGTAAGAATGTTAGTTTTGTAGCTACTATTGTGGTATTTGTCGCTATCACAGGATGCCAAGGCATTTTTTTTCTGCCCAACCACTTAATCGGTATGGCCTAATGTATGATGCTTCTGTAGATTGCCAGGGTTCCGACAGAGCTAAACACAAAGGACCAGCTTCTCCGTCAGCAGCAGCAGAAGTACGACACCATGATGTCACTCAAGCCAATCAGGAAGCAGGTCGTCGACCTGAAGGACCACGAGGTTCCTGACATTAAGAGCAAGATTTCTACTATCAACCAGGAGATAGGTAGGTGTCACCTCTACTTACATGTTCATTTCAGTGACAGTGTTTACTGTTCCACTTCTGGTTTTGGTTTTGTAGGAAGCTAAAATAGGTAACATGGTTGTTTTCATTCCTGCACTCCTAGCAGCTTCTCTTTTCTAATTGATGGGGTGGAGTGGGAAATCTTTTCTTAATATCCTTCATAACATGCTGAATTTGAGTTTTATTTTGATGACAACCATAACTGTTAAAAGGTAGACTTGTATGTTTTTCCATCTGTGTAGAACAAAAGCGTACCCAGATCACAGAGGGGGATGAACTGTTTGCCACGTTGTCTATGGAGGAGGAGATGGCCAAGGCCTGTAAGGACGACATCGCCATGATCGAGCGCTATCGCACAGAACTCCGCGAACTTGAAAGGAAAATTGCCCAGCAGTCATCCAAACTGGCAGGGTCTGACAGCGGTATGATCATTTTGACAAATAAAGTCTGACAAATTCAAGAACTTACTGATTGTCACTTGGAAGATTGTATTTAACTTTTCCACTAAAGGACTACTAGCCAGTGCCATTGTTTTCTCCACAACTTAAATTTTGAGAAAATTTTCAACTACAACTACTCCACATGTCAAGCCAAAAGTCCTGTGTTTTAGGAGAGTCACACCTCAAGAACATTGAAGAAGCACCACACTTATCAGAAAGAGAAGGGGTTCTTCATGTAATGGATCAGACTGGTCTACTATAGCTTTTACATAATAGTACAATGCTGGGGCAGTTTACCAGACATATGACACAAAGCAAACTTTTGTTACTGACAGGACGTACGATCGAGGAAGTGAACAGTGCCAAACAGGACAAGCAGCTGCAGGTGGACAACACGGCGGCCAAACTGGAGCAGAAACGTCAGCAGATCAGCGACCTGTCGGAGAAGATCAACGCGCTGAAGATGGAGGTGAACACGATCGCGGGGGAGAAGCTGCGGCTGGAGAGTGAGCTGCAGAGGATGAAACAGCTGGAGGACCAGAAGGCCGAGCTGGTGTCTGCGTACCAGGAACTACAGAGGGAGATTAAGGTAAGGTCTTCACTGTTTCATGGAGTAAAGGTTCCTGAACCTGTAAATGCATGTAGGTAAATCAACAATTAACCGTCTGGTACTCTTATTACATGTTAAGTAAGTTGACAGTTGATGGAATTCTCTACAACCCAAAAGTTTTCCACAATGCTGAGAGTAACAAAGAAATAAATTTTGCCATGAAAAGTCATCCTTGCTGTACATCTTATTTATTAAAGTACTGATAGTTTGTAGAATTTTACAAATGTAAAACTCTAGAGTTCTGCACAACTTTAGGAGCAATGAAGAAACAAATTTATGCCCGTTGTTCCCATTGTTTTATCTCCAGGACACCCAAGAGAAGCTGGAGCCTCTGGAGTCCCGACTGCAAGGTCTTCGGCGCGAGAAAGACGACATCACCAGGAAGAAAGAGCAGGCCGTGGAACGTGCCAAGTGTAAGGTGGACCAGGAGAGGAGTCGCAAGAACGAGGTGGCCAGTCTGGACACAGAGATTAATCGGTAGGGAATTAATACACTGGTCTTGGGGGATTTTTAGCTTCAAGTCAAATTTCTTTCACTCTCATGTATCTCAGTCTGGTTATTTGCCACTAATAATTACAAATACTTATCCCTCATCAGGTATGTTGAACAGGGGAGAGACAAGCTGCTGCAAGAGACAGAGGAGAAACTGCAGGTTCTGGAGAACAAAGTGAAGAAGGCAGAGGAGGAGAAAGAGAAAATGGATACCAGGTAATTTGCCGGGACTAACTTTCCTGTGTGTCTGGTGTTCTGAGGTGTCTAAACATCATCAACTCTCTCATCAGTGTTTTTTTAATGTTTGTGACAGTTGCAGAATATTTTCTAATATAGTTCTAAATTCGTCATCATGTTTTACCAGGATGCAAACCTTGAGAAAGGAGGTGGCCAATCAGAAGGCTCGAGAAAGAGAGCTGCAAGACAACCTACAGCTGAGGAAGAAGGAAGATGAAGTTAACAAGGTGAGAGGAATATCAGGCAAAACAGGCTTTATTGATTTTATAAGTCATAATTCAGTTTATATTAAATTGTCATATTGTACTATGAACAACTACATTACTGTAAATAATGAAATACAAGTGGTGGTTTTATGTTTGCAATTTGCAACATTTCACTGCAAACTCATTACACTGCAAGTATGCACTCTAGTTTCAACCATGAACTTATAAAAACGTATTTGTACTTCATACTGACACTATGTTGTATGAAACCAGGGCATTGTATTTGTATGACTTCCCCAACAGATAGCAGCTGAGATCGCAGACCAGGAGGAGGAGTTGGGAGGTCTGGATGCCCGCAGCATCGAGCAGGAGAAACGGAAGCTGGTGGAGAAACAGGACCAGCTGCTGAAGGAGAAATATGTGGCCGAGGGGAGGATGAGAGGGCTGGAGGAGGAGATACGCAGGTATGTACACTTCGCTTGCCATTCATATTACAACTTGGGTATGGAGAATCCTTGCAGTTAGCTTGTCATAAGTATGAAAGTCTGAAGACTGATTTCCTTGTTTGATGTTGTAGAAAAGACCCTTTGTTAGTTTTTGTGTGTGAAGTTATGTTTGCACGCATTTGTTGAATGGGTATTTCCGTTCTCAGGTTTCGCAAGGATCTGCAGTCCGAACAGTTTAAAGATGCAGATGTGAAGTACAGGGACATGATGATCGTGCTAAAGACAATGGAGCTGGCTAACTCTGACCTGGAAAAATACTACAAGGCTCTGGACAGGTAACAAAGCTCTCTTAGAAGTACATGTATTATGATTTCCTGATGAAAGAATGGAATTTCCAATGTAACTTTATGTAGGTCGTTGAATTTTGCAGAATGAGATTTTTGAACTTGAGAATGCTGAGATAACTGAAAAAGATGTTTAACGTACAGCCTGCTAAGGTAGCCTTTGGCACCAAATTTGTATTGGTTACAGGTCAGGCAGCAAGTTAGAGAAGGTTAAGATTATTTGCACGTAATTGAGACATTCGCTGTTGGTATCCCACAGGGCAGTTATGAGCTACCATCACATGAAGATGGAAGAAATCAACAAGATCATCCAGGAGCTCTGGCGAAACACGTACCGTGGACAGGACATCGACACCATCGAGATACGGTCTGCCGAGGACACCACCACGGCTGCCACCAAGAACATGCGGCGCACGTACAACTACAGAGTGGTGATGATCAAGGGAGAGACAGCTCTGGACATGAGGGGAAGGTGCAGTGCAGGGCAAAAGGTGTGGTTAATGAAAGTTGATGCATTGTACAATACTACTGTAATTTTTTTCTGTGGTTGAATACCAGCTTTTTATCCTGTAGAAACATTCTTGCAGAAGATGCAAGGGGTCTCAGGGCTGGAAAATCAGATTCTCGGGTCAATTTTCTCATCATTTCTTTAAAAGTTTAAACAACACTATTCCATTGCATGTGTCCTTATGTCAGGTGCTGGCATCCCTGATAATCCGGCTGGCCCTGGCTGAGACCTTCTGTATCAACTGTGGAGTCCTGGCCTTGGACGAACCCACCACTAACCTTGACCGGGAAAACATTGAGAGTCTGGCAGCTGCCCTCATGGATATCGTCAAGGGTCGCTCCAGGCAGAGAAACTTCCAGGTGACTCATCACAAACTTTACTCCATCAATAATCCTTGAAATAGCTGATTGTTCATGATTACAGTATATCTTTGAACTTATAACTGAAAAATGTTTTTGCAAAGTATTGTATGCTTTTAGTGATAACTTTAAGTTGGCTGCTCATATGCCATGATGGCAATGTTTTTTGTTGTTTTTTTATGTATGTCAGGTTACTTTCAAAGAGATGGTCTGTTTGCTTCGAATCAACAGAAATCAAAGTAAAGCAGAGTTGCTGGCATAGCAATGCGTAAAGTCAAAGCTATTTTCCTGACTGCCACTTGTTTCCTTTGCCATAGCTCCTAGTGATTACCCACGACGAAGAGTTTGTTGACCTTCTAGTCCATGCCAACTTCACCCAGCACTTCTGGAGGGTGTCCAAGGATTACGAGTATGTACAAGTCCTTCTGCTTGTTTGTTACTGGTGTAACTCACTAAATTCTGGCATGTTACACTGGTACATGTACTTGTCAGTGCTTTAACCTTTTCCCTGATGCCTAACTCTGTACAAGAGAGAACCAGTAGCCAAACAGCTGTTGCTAAAGGTTACATTTTGTCCTTGTTTAATCCCAGACACTGTATGTGGTATTGCTTTTGTGTGTTGATGTGTTGTTTTTGTAATACCAGTACCGGTAAGTACTTTTGCTGTGGTTTATGCCATGAACACTAAGTCGTTGCATAAATCTTTCCATTCCCTTATTTTGCAGTGGGCTGTCACAGTTGGTCAAACATGATGCAGCAGTCCTGCAGGACTAGGGCAGACCCTGAAGAATTATACTCTGCAGGATATCGTATCACTTTCCTTTAATCATGAACAAGCAAAATTCCCTTTGCTTAAATTATGTTCTTATTAGTAAATGTGTCCTGGCAAAAGGACCATGTCATGTTTCTATATTGGTATAGCCAGTATAACCGCCCTTCACACCAGCATGTTTTTGTCTTTACATCTGCATCCACATTTGCCAAGTCAACATTTTGTGTTGTAACCATGATACAGTAACAGTAAAACCATGTTAACAAACTATAGAAAGATAGATACATTTGTACATCTAAAGAAAGCAAGCCACTGCAACCTTTCTGTTAAAGTAGAGTTTGGAAACAGTGCAATGGGTCACTGCAATGTAATATCAAGGCAGAGACAGACGACAAGGAAAAGGTATTAACAGAACTGATAGAACAAATACAAGTAAATATATGTAGTTCTTTTATAGAAACGATAATAAGAATACTAAAAATTAAAAACAAAATATAGATATTAACAGTATAACGGGATACAAAAAACATAATTTCCAAAATAGATGTTGTTCTGTTCTGTTGAGGTAGTAAGTATATATGCAGTAATAAAAGTACCTGTATATACTAAAATTAAGACCTAACAAAAGAAAAGTAACAAAAAAATAAAAATCATACTGAAATGTTATCTTTGTGTGTTTTTAAGTCTTATCATTTCTAGATATAATCATTCCTGTTGCATACATACAGCATACCTGTGTATAAAAGGTGATTAAAGGTCAAGGCCATTTAGCTTTGGTGTAAAGGACATTAATTCATTAGTTTATGCAAATTATATCCATTAGAAATGTGCATATACTATTTTTCCCCACTACGATAAACTTCAAATTCCAGAGAAATCCTTTTCACCAGGTAGGAGCCATTCACAGCTTTAAAATGTAGGTCAGAGTTCAGTGGAGCAGTGTGGTCCCATGCTATGTTGTCTCTGTACAGTCTGACAGTCGCATGGTGCCACACACCCGGCACTTTAGTCATCAAGTTACAAACCACTGCGAAATTCCCTGCTTCTACAGAGTCTGTGATCTCTGTGTATTGTTCATTAGTTTTTTGCTTGGGAAATGCCATAAATGTGGTGTCGCCTGTACTCTGTCTCTTTGTCGAAGAATATACCTGTATCTGTGTAAATGCGTTGTCCAGGAGAATGTAGTCAAACTGCAGAAATCCAATGTAATTGTTGGTCAGAAGCACCCTCGCCAGGACATCTGCCATTCTAAGGTACAGGCCATTATTAGTGTTGATTAGATATGCACCAAATTTCATCAGAGGAGGTTTCACAAAGTACATCTTCCCATTGGGAACTTCAAGACTGAAGTCATCAACAGTTAGATGGGCATAGAGCATATCTGTGAGCACCTGTACAGCTTCTAAACAGTTGGCTGCTGCTGAATAGCTTCCATGGCTGATCTTAGTTGAACAGTCTTCTACCCGAGCAGCTACCTTGGTGATGTTTATTCCTGTTTGATTTAGAAAAGCAATACTCTTCTTCAAGCTGAACCACCAGGTAGGTAGAGTCACTCCAGCACTGTCACTCTGACTTCCTTTCCAGAAGCTGGCAAACAGTTCTGTGGTGTAGAGAGCTTCAAAGCCGTACTGTTTAGTAGGCAGAAGCACACTGGCTTCACTGTAGTCATTCATTGTAGGCAGGATGAGAATGTTCGCTGAAGAGTTGTTGAGAACGTGGTACTTCCACTGAGCGTTGTACAAGGATGTCCCTTGCCATTTTCGGGGGAGGTACTTGAGTGTCCCTCCCCACCCAGCACAGCCCCTGTTGTCAAACCCTGGGGAGGCCGACCCTCCCCACAGCTGACATGTCCCATTCCTCACACACTCCTCCCCTATAGATGTGACGTCCTGTTGGTACTGTGTCACATCCTCCAGGTTACCATAGTAATCCCACTGAGGCATGCTGGAGGAACAACTCTCTTCCGACTGGGAATCCACCCGAAGATTCCGTCCATCAGTGGCCCCCATTCTGCCCAGAGCTCTGCAGTTCTGCAAATTTAAGTAGTTCCCAATCCAGAGTGGGGATTGAGCCAATAAGGAATCTTGAGACCAATGGCCAAAACTTCCCTTAACTGCTCTGATGTAATTCCTCCACCAAACAAGAAGATAAGAGGGTGCAGACTGGAGCTTGGAAACCTGCTGCTGGATGTGTAGAAGACAGTGTCCAGGAGATACTGTGCATTCCTGTGGAACTCTGACACCATCTGGTCAGTGGCATTTCTCCGCTCCAACCACTGGAGAAGCCAGTGATCACACCAGTTCACACCGATCTCAAATGGCCTGTGTCTTTCTGCCACAGTTATGATCTTTGTCAGAGCTATATTGCTGGGATGTTCTCTAAAACCCCACTCCACCAGAAATCCATCGATTTTTGCTGTTTTTGCCTGAAGGATCAGATATTCCAAGTAATCCTCATCCAGATCTGAAGTCAGACCCAGCATGGGATAAACCATTGAAGCAACATTTAGATGCTTCCTCCCATCATCCGACAGAAGGTCTGCATTGAAGATGAATTCTGTTTTGGTTGCATGACTTGCATGTGCGATTCCATGTAAGGACCACATGCCGTTGCTCCCATCATGCTCTCTGGTCAGCCTGTTGGTTGTCAGGTCTGCATACACCTTCCTGTTGCCATGGTTACCATGTAATGACTTCATGAAGATCGTGAAAGTCAAGAACATAGACAGAATTTTGGCCGCAGACATCTGTGACATCTCTGATAACTGTGACTAAAAAAAACAAGCAAATATAAAAAATAAATAAATCTCTTGCATGAAAGGTACAGCTCTCCAGGCAGATGTTGGGATTAGGCCACACCAAGTAAATTTTATGGATGACGTCTGCGCGCGCATTGATTTTGGCCTGTTCCTACAAAAAAAAACAAGAAATTCTGCTTCCTATGACCAAAGAGTCACGACAGTGCCGCAAATCGTAAGATTGACGTGAACCCTGTAAAGCGAAATGGGTAAAGAGCACATTGTTTCTGCAGGCCTGTAAAAATGTGATGAAAGAAACAGGACAGGACGACAACTGCTGTTCCACCTGATTTATTGCTGTTTTGATGATGAATAAAAGACTTCTTGCTTGTTACACTGTGTCACCTCATTCAATTTGTGTCCTAACATTTGTCATCTCTTAGTATATTTGTAATCTAGGAATCTTGTTTTCTAGGGCCCTTCTTGTTTTTTTTTCGCCCTCTCACATTAGATTTAGGGTCTCCAAAGGACGTCATCCATAAAATTTACTTGGTGTGGCCTTAACAACACAGAAGGAGAAGACTGTCAGAAATGCCAACTAGTTAGAAATACTTATTAGACACCTCTACATCTACTTGAAGATTATAACTCTACTATTGCAGATGACAACTGCTCTGTTACACACTAGTGGTTCTTTGCCCGTAGATAGCCCACTTACAACATCTGGTCCAAGTTACAGATGTACTACTAACGTTAAGTCAGTGTGACACTCATCCTCCCACGTTGGTGAACTTTGGAGTCCTTAACTGCTGATGTTTACAACCTTCAGTCATCGCTGTGTCACATTGCATCATTTGAAATTACAGGAAGATGAACTTCTGAACTTTAAGTGCGGAATGCTATCACTTTGACCTGATGTTATGTCACATTGCAAATTGCAAAATACCAACAGTGGCAGTTTTCCTTGGAAAACCTTGCGTGGTGCTCTTTCTAAGGACTATTAACGTTAGCGCTCCAAGCAGTGTTGCTATCTGGAGGTAGAGAGATTGTCACAGAATTTATCCAGTTGCCTGATTTGCTTTGCAATTGTACTAACGTAAATGTATGTTCTAGCCAAGGGAGGTTTAATATCCCGATAAAAATCTATGGATATGCATTAACGTTAGCCTCTATACCGACGCAGCATAATCGTCTACCGTATACCAAACGTACCAACATTCCACACACCTGTAACGTTACCAGAAACTTGAGAAAAACTGGACTTGGGTTGAATGTCTTCGCAGTTGTTCCGAGCCCAAAGCCGGGCACCTGAAATACACTTCACAACTTCTTCGCCTTGGCTTGCAGACGACAAGCTAAGAAAAAACAATCTTCACCTTTGACATATGCAAATAGCAGGCATCAAAACGTGTGCGTGTATACAGAGGTTTCTTCATTTAGTGGCACATGAATTCATCTTATACAAGCAATGCAATTTTTTAATAACTATTACACAGTTTTGAAGTATAAGTAATGTTTTAATGAGTGTTTTATTTCCTAAAACATTTTCATGATTGTACAACTTTCTTCACGTGTTGATTCGGTTCTTGTCAATCAAAGATGGCGACCCCAGGGAAAAGGAAGCGGGAAGTTCGAGTCGAAAGCCCGATTTGGATTTTACGCACAGAAATGGCGAAAAGGAAGGAGAAAAAGCGCAAGAAAACTGAAGAGTTCGACGTAGTTTTCTCTGAAAAGGTACGTGAGGATTTATAGTTTTGTGTCTTTGCACGTAGGGTGGATAAGAAGGTCGATTCCTGTCAAGAATTTTCCGTTGGGCGAGATTGTTGCTTGAAAAGTTGGCAACGGTCCAACCCAAGCTTTGCGTCCATTCAAATGTCCGTAACTTGTACCGTTATGAGTAGAGTAGAGCAACTGGAGTAGAGTATATAAAGGCAGGAGTGTATACTTAATGTCAGCAGCACTTTCGTGACCAGGAGTTCATTCTTTGACATGGAAATCTATAGTATAGTTACGGTAACACACATACCTGCTGCATAAATTTTTGACATGTATATGCAAATCTTTTGTGCCATATCTTCTTCAAAATGTACAAGCTTGCCTGGTCGGACCCGTCTTGTGGTTTCGGCGAGCTACTACTAGTACCTTCGGTTGCCACCTTCAGGCCTGTAGACGATCCCAGCCGCCCAGTTCAACTATAATAAAGAGTGACGAACATGCAACTTTAATAGGAGGCCGTTACTAATACACCACATAATGCCATTGGCCTTATACCAAAAAGGTAATACACGTACCCTGAATTTGCATTGAAAAGGTTTTTCTCTGAGTCCCCTATACGGCTATAGCCTCCTTGCTGTATTGTTGTCATACTGTTTTATATGGCTCTATGTTTCTTATAGAAATGTGGAGTTCTAATTACTAATATTAACGTTATGAAAGTGGGAAGGATAACCTGTTTCTTTTTTTTTTTCATGCATTTTTTCCATGCTCCTTGCATATAGTGACTAAGTTAGTTATACTCTGAGTCCAGGGTATCAAGTACAAGTATACCATATACAGTGTAATTTTATTAGTATACTGTATACTTAACAATTTTGCTGAGTACAGTGCAGGTGCATTAATATGCTATGTAATTTTGTTAGTATACATGTAACATTACTTTAGCAATTCTACAGGTTCTACACGTTCACACAGTCAGGTACAATAAAGTTGTTAAGTCATACGGTACCTGTTAAATCCCTGAAGATACCAATAAAATTGCTAACGACAATCCTCATGAAATTGCTATACAAATGAAATTGCTAGAAATTGCATTGTATTCAGTCAATTGCCACTGCATTGAATAAATTAAGGGGCCTTTGGAAGGATCTAATCAAGGTTATAGAGAACATAGAACTAATCTCCAAGCAGATCTTTGGTGGGGGTAAGACAGTATCAAATTGGCCAGTCTGTGGGGGAATGGATACTGTCTTACCCCCACCAAAGATCTGCTTGGAGATTACATAGAACCTCCTTGGTCTATTATGGAGGCTCATACTGTAAGTCCATTTTTTATTACGAAATCTTTAAGTTCACGGTTTTCACGAAGACCTTCTTCCCGTGAACTCACCTCCTCGCGAACCCATTCCGTACGTACCACCCCCCTCCCACATCGTGCGTCTCAACTCTATTTACGTACTGTAGTATAGTAACTTCTACATTACGTAGAACTAGTCTAGTAAATGACAAGACGCGACGAATAACGAAAGACTTTTTTTCAGAATCAAATAAACTTTATTCAAAGAGCATATGGTTTATGGACTCATTATTTGTTACTAGTGCTTCTTGCGAACAGTGTAAAAGTTTACATGATAGCCGACTAGACAACATCAAATTTTAACAAGAACGCTAGTTCACTGAGATATAGCGGTGAACAGTTGCAAACATGTGCAACATCGTAACATACGGAATTTTACAACATACATCGGTGCATAAACATACAAAAAGCAGACTTATTTACAGTTTATTTACAGTACAGAAAATCGGCAAAAAATTCGAACCAAGCGGGAATTTTTAGCGTGGGTCTTTGTCCAAGCGCGATAGCGTGGGTCTTTGTCTAAACATCGAAATATCAAACTACACGGGTACATCGTTACACTACAAGCTACACACAAAAAAAATCATTGCACAACATTTCCATACATTCCAATAAAATTTACGCTACACTTACAATATTTACAGGTAATTACAGAGCAAGAATTGCACGAAAATCTAGCGGCGGGCGGATTGACAAATCATGAGAAATTCAACATGGCGGCCGTTGTTTACATAGCGTAGCGTCCTTGTTTACATACATGTCGGTCAAAGTTTGCTTGATTTTTGTACAACTTGTTGAATTAACATGGTTTTAAACATTCACCTACAGTAAAACTATCGAATAGTGCGCTAAAATTCAAACTAGTGGTGATCTACGTGTGGACTACTGGTCAGAAATGTTCGTCAGAAATTGGCAACATTTTTGGCAACAGAGTTCAAACATGGCGGCGGCTATTGTTCTACTCACGCGCCCGGCTCACAGCTCCTCTGATTCCGGTACGGTCCCATCCCCTGGCGATGGCGTCCACGTTGTTTGCAATGCTATCCATAGCACCCAGGACCCAGTTCGCATGGATGGGCTTGAGCTTGGACAGCGTCATGTCCACGGAGATCGAAGCCAGGTCTCGGCCCTCCTGTAGCTCTGTTGTGAACTTGTCGGCGTAGTACTGCACGAAGCGCTGCTTCAGCTCTTTCTTCAACACGTCGTTCACCCCGCCGTCGCAGTCGAGGGGCTGAAGCTCTCCCGTACAGCTGGCTGGCACGAAGACGGCGTGGATGTGATTCTCCTTGAGCTTGGCCAGGAGCTCAGGGCACCGGTGCGCCTTGAAGACATCGAAGATCGCCAAAGCTGACTGGTCTTCGCTCAACCCCAGGGCCTCGCGCTGAGCCGTCACGTAGGGGATGAGAACTTTGTCTGCATACCGGTCCATGGTGGAGGCGTTGGACCAGTGGGACTCGCTGTGATGGATGTCCCACTCCTCCGGGAAGTCGAACTTCGGGTGGCAGCCTGTCGTCTTTCCCTGGTAGAGGAGCTGGGGCGGCAGGAGCTGGCCAGCCAGCGTGATGGTCAGCAGCATGGTGATTTGCTCTTGTCCTCCAGCCCTACGATTGGAACCTGTACAAAAATACGAGAGAGACACATAAGAACAGAAGTATAAAACACACATGAAACATTTACAACTCGAGAAAAAGCAACAAACACATGAAACATTTACAACTCGGCAAAAAGCAACAACTTGTCATAAATTCAGTCACATTTTCTACTCGTAGTAGACTAAGAACTACAATCATTTTACTGGCATAAGCAAAGTGTATAGAACTGTTTTACAGATAAAGATATCAATAAAACAAGCAAACAAACAAACCTGTCGGGATCCCTCCTCTGCAAGCGTCCAGCCGCCCACGGGGACGACGTTGATCCCGGTCTGGTCCCAGTTGACTACAAGCTCGTCCGGGATGTCGTTCTCACGGACGATGTCCTCAATCCTCTGGTGGAAGTCGTCCCGGGTCTGGTCGAAGTCCTGGGGAACCTTCCTAGCCGCCTTGGTGCCCTTCCGCTTGACAAAGTTCATGCGGCGCAGGAAGGAGTTGGCCCACGGCTTTGAAATCCTGATGTGACCGCCGTGTTCCACGAGGAGGCTTCGGTCTTTCCGCGCCACAAGGCCGCGGGCGGCTCCCTGCACCACGAGCCGGTTGACCACGCCCCCCGCCCTTCTCAGGTTTTGGGTGTACTCCTTCAGCTGATCGTCGAGGTCGCCGAGCATGAGTGGCCGTCCAGTGTTTTTGCGTGGAAAGTTCTCGATGCTGTCCTTTCCCAGCCTCTTCAGCTCCTTCGTGTAACTGTTCTTAATGGAGCGGACGGTGCTCTCGTTGAGCTCGCGGCCCACTTCTGCGGACAGCCGTCTTGCCGCCTTTGATGCGCCGACCTCCACGCACACTCTGGCGATCTTAGCTCGCATCTCTGGGCTGTAGTGACCGTACGTGCCGCGCTTTCTCTTGCGGCTCGCTGACTCTGCGATGACCCTCTCCACCTCCCTGTTAGCCGCTGCCGTTGCCTCGGGGTTCTTCGTGTCCATGGGGTTTGGCAGTCCCGGCGTGGTGGAAGGCTTCAGCGAGGGATTGGCTCTCTTTAACCAGGCGAACATGTTGTACACAGTGGCAGTCTCTCGTCTCACACGTCTAAGTCGTCTCAAAGATTGAATGACCGTGCCGAGATTTCTGTCCATACTTATACTGTATCATCTTATTGTCTGACAAAAGATATTAGAATGACAAAAAAATGATTGATATTGCCGTACTGACTTTAATTTTGCCGACAAAAACGCATAACTTTTATGTTTGATTGCTACATTGTTCAAATCGCGCGTACCTCCCGCGTACCTCACGCGACGAAAAATGATTGATATTGCCGTGTCGACCGTCACTTCGCAGACAGAAACGCGTTCCCCTTTATATGTTTGATTGCTACATTGTTCAAATCGCGCGTACCTCGCGCGTACCTCACGCGACGAAAAATGATTGATATTACCGTGCCGACTGTCGGTAAATTTGCCGACAGAGACATGCAACACTTTGTTAAAAATACCGACTCGCGAAGTCAGATACCTCGTGAACACCCAAATTGCTTCATCTCGTGAAATAAAGCATTCGTGAACATAACTGGACTTACAGTACTTTCGACCTGGCGTCTCCAGAATGTGACTGACCCACTTCAAGTGAGTGGCAGGTAATCTCCAAGCAGATCATACGGTGGCAAGGCAGTGTCCATTGGCCAGAGGAGTGTCCATTAGCCACCTTTGGTGGCCGTGCAAACTCCTCTGGCTAATGGATACTGTCTTGCCACCAAAAGGGAACTGCTTGGAGATTAATTAAGTGGCAATGTCAAAGACCACAACAACATGGAGGCAACTTGTATGTTTGAAAGTGACTTTAAATTTAATACTTTGTTTAAAAATTGTCGTCATTATATGACAATGACATATATGACATACCATATATGACATATATATGACATCAGACATACCATACTCTATTCTACTATGGAATTAAATGACTTTACTCATGATACTAACTTTCATATCAAGTTGTTATACAAGTTTCAATAATAAAAATACAGGGAGTTTTCTGCTAGGAATAGGATACAATGTTATTTACATGGATCTTACTCAGCATAAGGATTTGTACATCCCCTATAAGAACTTGCAGCATTGGAAGACATGGAAGAAAGTTAAAAGGCCAGCAAAAGAATGTAAATTGCACAGTCATCATGCAATGCAATAACCTAAATCAAAACCACATGCTCTGGGAAACCATACTTGGAGACATCTGTGACCCTGTTACAGTTCACAACTTGACACTTCCCTGTTTCCACTTCTCAGCCCAGTGCCACTGGAGTCTCCTCCCTCCCTGTGTGCCTTTCCCACAGATTTTGACTCATATCTCTAAATTTAGCACCGTCCTGGTAAGGCAGCTTTTCATTGGCACAAGATGTCCTCAGGATCAACTTCTGTTTCTTTTATGTTGGTTTGCTTGGTCTGACTTCTGTATGAAGTGTGTGGGTGTAAAAACAGTTCCAGTCTACTGCAGAACACAGAGCATGATTTCCCTCACGATGTGTTGATCTGTTCTTCACACCTCTCTATACTTACACCCCAGGTTCATTTACATTATAAAAGTCTTACTTCATCAAACAGCAATTAGCAATCCACTTATCACCTATTCAAGCCATGAAAACAAATCAAAACATGACGACATGATAAGGAAACCCCCCATTGGACATCTCCAGCTGGTAACATAACACCCTCTCCTGTAGAGGCTTCCTGTTGGGGGCATTCCTCACCATTGGTCTCATTGTACTAACAATAGACTCCCGCCCACGCTCCCGCCACATGGAGAGCTGTGTTTGCATACAGACCCAGTCATCTAGGGCAAAAAGGAGCGGGAAGTGGATCTAACCAGACAGTTATGAGTTAGCTCCCGTACAGAGACGAGTCTGCCTGTGACAAGTGTCTGCTGTCAGTCCGAGAGGAAGTTTCAGACTTTTCTGTCTGTAGTGTATCGGAAAATTGGTCCCTGAAGATTCCTGTGCACAATTTGTGTTGGACTGGTTGTACGAGCGCTCTTCTGTTATGCCAGGGTTTGTGGAGGCAAGACAAGCCAGGCTTGCTATCATGGATTCTGTTTTCATCATGGAAGACTTGAATGAATACTACTACAGACAGTTGGCAGCAAGCATACAGGTAAAAACTGTTACTACTGGTATTTCTTTGTTAGAGTGCAAATTGATATTGATTCTTTTCATGTAAGTTTTTCATCATACTTTGAGGTCAAGTTTTGAAGGAGCTGATAATTTATAAGGCTGCTTGTTCAAACTTTCTGCACCTTGTACTTTTTATTGAAATTTTGCAACATTGACTTGTCATCATGCTTTCCCTTAGAATTACCGTTGTTATACATTACCAAACTGAAGGTAGCACCTTTTCAGAAATTCTACTGACTATTTTTACAGTCAGGCACTAAGTTCTATGTTTGAAGCATTTATACACTTACTTGTGCAACACCAGTTGTGTCCCAAAACATTCCACATCTGTTCCCAGCCTCCATGGACCTGTTGTTCCCACTGTTATTGACACTGGAAGACTATTTCAAACATTCAGTTTGATCAGCAATCTCTGGTTACCACCTCGCACAGATCTGAAGGTTCACATTGTCCTACTTATCCTTGCATTCGTTACTTTTTTGGAATTTTGTGTCATCGCAAAAGTCAGCAATGTGGAAGAGTCGGACAAAAATAACTTCTGCTTATCTGCGCCATCGGCAATTAGATTTGTAATTCCACGGAGAAATTCCCTTCTTTGTTTGCCTCTCTTGTACAATTATTTACCCTTGCCTAACAGGCAGGTAATCTGCAGACATGGCAAGTGTTTTTCTGGTAATTCCCGGAATTTGTGTCTACAAGAAGTATTTGTGGCGTAAACAGCCCTTTGATTTGCGTGAATTAGAAGGAATGCTTTTTTTTCTTCTTGGCAGAAATCAGGTGTTACCTGAGTAAAATTGATGGGACACATTATCTATGTTGGAAGTCAGGTAAAAGACAGGAAGGAAATGGCTTGGACAGAGAGTGGTTTCCTGTGGGTTCATTATTGGGCTAGTCGGCATTGTGATGTGGCCCTCCAGCCAACAAATAAACGGTTGACTTGCCCACTTGTCGCTGTTTGCTGAGGGTGACCCGCATGTCGTGTCGTGTTCCGGTTTGGTGTGCTACGAGACCCCCTCGGGTATACACGACTCGAGGGGGTTCTTATACTCATCAAAGACCTGCAGCTATTCCCAACTTGTGGAAAGTTACAAAGGATTGCAGACGTTCGGATGGCATGTAGAAATTCACCTTTGCCCAGTTCTTTTACACCTTGCCTTCTCCTGTTTCAGTTTTACTGTTGTGATATATCCACCTGTCTAGTTGGGTCTTGCCCCAGGGAAACAGTCATACATCCTGTGCCTCACAATAGGAACACCTGGAGCCTGACATCCAGACAATACAAACCTGTTTGATCACCCGTGTCTGAGGTCAGGGTCAAACTCCACATAATACAGACACTTGTCCATGACTTACAGCTGTTATTGTTGCCTATTTGTGCGAGTTCATGAGGTGTGAAGACCACCCAAAACATTGATTGTCATTCTAATGAGAGTTTACAGTAAACAAGGCTTCAGTGTTTGAGTTTGTCAATCTTCTTGGAGTAGTCAAGGAGGTTAAATAAGTGACCTCCTTTGGACTAGTTTGGCAGCAACAGCAAAATTGAAAGTAATAAAGTACCATATAGAAAGTACCTTTTTTGATGGTGACAGGTGAAAGCAATTTCTTCCCTATCAGCTCTAGACAGCTCCCATACTGAGATGTACCATCTGGTTTGTGTAAGTCTGTCTCATAACCAGTAGTGAGAGGATTACCCTCCAATTTATCAGAGCTTTGGATACAATAACAGATGATGAAAAGATAAGTGGCCCATGTACCATGTGTACAGTTTCCATTACTTTTGACAAATAACTGTATGTGTTTGCCATGAAAATGGCTTGACCTTATTCCTTTCCTCTTACCTAGATACCCTCCTGTGACATACAGTGGGCACAAGTTTGTAAACCTTATAAGTAACGGTACCACCATGCTGGGTGTCTGGTGTCCAGGTTAGAGTTTCAGGGTCTCATAGAACCTTGTTTTGAATACAAGTAAACACAACCTCCATGTGCCCCCAAAACATTTACATTCATGTGATGTCATGACTTGAATGCCATGTTTGTGGACTCTTATGGCGAGTTCACTGTGCCTAATGAATTTTTGACTTGTCAGAGGACACAACAGAATTGGAACCAAAAGTTACCAGTATTACTTATAATTAGGACAAGAAGATTTAGTACATGTGACAAGTGCTGTAGATATGTACCTTGCAATAGATTTTCCCTCGAGGAATCCGTCATTTACTATGATTTAGGTTTCTTGTTTGAATTGGACAAGGAGTAGAGATCTTGATATACTACAGGAATAACATACTACAGGAAAGGATTGGGGATTTGGGTCCCTCTTGGATTTTGTAATCTTTGTAAGATTCTTTGATCTTGAACTTGTGAACTCCTCCTACACATCTTTCTTACCAGATTTGGATAGACTTGTGATGACATGTTATGTCAAGTCTGCTCTCAATAACAAGTACAGAACCTGCGAACCTTTGAAATATTACACCCAGTTTCTGTTCTCTGGTTTAGAGTTTCCTATGCCTAATCATAAGCATGTGCTCCAGTTGATGTTCGCACATGTGGTGTGTCAAGTTCCTTTTATGCTTGAAGTGAGAAATGTGACCATGACATACTGTAATCAATGTTTTGTGACCATGTTTTGTGACTTTTGTATCAGGGATGTTAACAGAAGAGACCATGTCTGTGCACATTTGATTATTAACTTGATTTGATAACCACAATGTAAAGTTAGAAGTCAGCACTTGGTCCCTATTGCACTGATAATGTCGGAAGGTTGCACTTTGATATGTAGACACAAGGGGGCATGCCACATGCTTTCACTGTCACTGCTTATATCTATTTCTTGGTCCAGATGGAACCCAGTCAGGGTAAAACATTACCCCAGTGGCTTGGTTATCAGCACCATGATTGATCTACCTGTACAAAGGCAACAGAGTTTATGGACTCTCATATTCCCAGTGGCATTTGTAATATTTTTCCTGACCCCATTTATTGGCATTACCCTCTCCCAAGGGACACAGTCACCTGTTTAGAAGATAATGCTATTTTCTGAGGATGTGTGAAATGTAGCAAAACAAAGTAGATTGTGACTGCTGTGTGTGATTTATGTGACAAATGTGCTTGATATAGCTGTCATATATACCCATTTTACCTCTAATGAAGTCATTAGCATAAATTACTCTGGCAGTTTCTACCAAAATGAAATACTGGTAGTTTTGAAAATTACATTGCAAATTCCATTACAATTTGAGTTTCACAGATTGATTTACCATAGGCAAAGTGCATTTTAAGGTTAATAAAAAAATTATAGCAAATATGGCTGTGTTTTTAGTTTAATAGAGTTTGAAAAGTTAGTCTATAGCATTGAAATGCTCAATTATGAAAAAAAAATGTTTAACTTTCAGGTTTTTCTTTTTATTGTTCATGCCATGAATGTGATATAAACAGATTTCCCAGTCATCAATCAATGGTCCACAGGCTTCATGATCTCCCAGTAACTACTCTGAAAACAACCCACACACTCCACTCACCAGAGTGCCAAGTAAAGATCATGATTTAGGGACATTCAATCCTTGTGAAACTGTTTCACTTTAGACTTGTGTTATTCCCATGCTGACAACCACACATTGCGATGAATGATGAAGGAAGCACAGATGTCATAAGCCAGACAGTTTCCTGGATAATTACAGGCTTTCTGGGAACCCTTCCATATTCTGACTCAGTCTGTGGCCCGTAGCTTACTGGTATAGAAATTCTATTTAAATTATTACAGTATGGATGTAGATATTCACTGAGGAGAATATGATTCTGAAGTTATATTTCAATTATCAAAATGTATTTTGAAAAGGTTGTCTGTAAAAATGTGTGTAATGTCAAATTGTCAATGGAATAAGAGGACAACACATCAATGTTATACAATGATGTATATTTAAATAACAAAACGGCAATTTGTGTATAACTGTTTGGTTGTGTTTTATTCCCTAAGTTGAGGAGAAAAGGTAGTAATCTCTGAAATGCATCTGGCAGGAAGGTTACAGCAGAAACCACTTAAGGTAATTAGGCCATAATGGCAAGTTCTTAAAAGGCCAACCCAATGTCATTGCACATACATTGTACATGGTTACTAGCTGAAACTAATTACCAAAAACACAGGCTACTGGTACGTTGCAATGTATGTATGGATGCTACATATTTGAAAGAAATACAGTAACATGCAAGCAATGTATTTTCTTCAATAATTTTTAGGCATTAAAATGTGTAAGAAGGAGAAATGATGTGGGAACAAGAGTCAAATATCCGGATGGCTTAGATAACGATCATCTAGAAGCTGTTTCCCACATAATTACATGTCACTAGTAATCCCTCCACTTGCCTGACCTAAATTTCTGACATAGTCACAGTTGCATTTTTTATTCGATCCAAAACCGCATTACAGATTATCACATAGGATAATGGGGGTACTACGTTTTGCTTGTTTAAATATGGTTGCCCAAAAATGAAAATGAAATGACAGTGGTTTGTGAGATTTAGATGGGGACTTATAGATGGTTTTATTGTAGAAAATACAGTTGTTCGTCTGCTCCCTCCTGTCCTCTTCAGTGGTTTAACCCTGAGACTACTGAAATAATTATGTTTTGAAGCTTGCCTGCCTGCATAGAAATAAGCCTGCACAGAATCCCACGGGAGGTATCGGTTACACTTTGTCCTTGCAAGTAGACTGGTCTTCAGGAAGGATGATGTCAGCGCCCAGCCACACAAGTAATTTTCCTCCTATAGCAGAGGAAGTGGTGGCAGGAATAGATAGTAGCAGCTTCTGGTCTGGTCTGTTGGCATCTGAACAAAGAAAAATCTGCCTTTTTCAGACAGCGTTGGATTGAAAATTCAAATCAAGCCCCAAGCTCAGTACATGAGTCAGACTTTAGTATTCCTGGTTGGGGGCTGATGAATCATTCTCTGCTGTGGGAATGGAATCTCCCAGGTTGCAGGCCACAAACTAGTGATCTGCATCGTCCCCACCCCTCTTTGTAAATGGTTCAGTCCAGCATGAGTAAAGGCATGATGGCATACATGGACAAGCCAGGAGGCTGGCCAGGAAATTTGCCAAGATGCTGCATACATCTGTTTGAAAGGATCTGAGATTTCACCACTGAAACCAAAGCTGCTGGACCCAATGGCCATGCATCTGCAACACGGGACGGTGAAGCTTCCCAAATGTGTGAGTATCCAGGCCCCATTCTGTTTTCCTCCTCCAACAGTTGCTGTGTGGATGCCTCAGTGTTGACATAGATGGCAGTTTTGCCATTGTTCTGCTCCAACTGCCACATGTTGTGAAAATGGAGACTTGCTCCCAGGACAGTTGAAGCAAGGGTCACTGATACCATTTTGGGTGTTGCGGCATAGAAGGCATCACATATGTGCTTGATGGATCGTGGAAATCTACTCAATCATGTATTCTAGTTGGTTTTACAGTCAGCTATCAGACTGCACCTAAAATAGCTCAAAATTATTTCTTGTGTATAACTTATTATTAGAAGGCACTGAAAATTACATGTGTCCATACACAGAATGCAACACAATTACAATTGATAGGAATTTAATACATTATTTACAAGTTTCCAATTAATTACATATGTAATGTAGACATAAGCATGCTCACTCTTACTTTGGTATTAGGTATCTCCATTTCCTTGTTTGGTTTTGTTGTTTTAGCCAACAGGCCATGAAACAGATGAAGAGATCATTTTTGACAGCATCTATAATATATCTTTATCATTTCATCTTCACAGTCATAGCAAAATGGGATTTACATTTAGGATGAATTTATTACATTGAAATATTACAGTTCAGTACAACTACAAGGTCACTGTCATCATACAGGTAACCACATCTGCATAAGGACCACCAAGCTAATGTGACCACTTTTTGGTGGGCCCTTAGATTATTTTTCCTATCAAATCCTGTCAACTTTACCACTTGTCCACAAATTTCAGTCCCCTGAAAGGTCTTTTATGCTGTTTTCACTGCATATCTAAACCATCTCTCTACATCATAGATCCAACAGGCATCTCCTACTTTGCATCATTTAGTTATTACCAAAATTCCCTGTATTGTAACTGTACTGAGACCTTATAAATATTTGATATCACTGTCTAGGTATTACCAAATAACATGTTATCAACGTAAAGTGAGAGAGTAAGTGGGATGGAAATTGACACAATACAAAGGGTGCCTGGTAGTTTTGCCAAAGTCATTGCCAAAATGAAAGGCAAAACATACAAAAACATTTGCATCCAATTAACCATTACCAGCCATAATTAGTGCTTTTTCCCATTTATTGTTCAGTAGTTGCCTGCAGTTATGAGTTATAATGGCAGGAAATATGGAAATTGAGTCATTGTTCAGTACATGTAATTATATTACGTTCACTTCAAAAGGCAGTGTACTTGGCTGTAATATATAATTAGCAATTTTATCAGCAACCAAAACATATAGTTCTTTTCTTTCATTTACCAATGTATAGACTAGAATACCGACCATTTGCAAATTTCCAATATAATAAATTATTTAACAGTTGGCATGGAACCAATTGAGCGGCAGATTATATCCGGAAAAGGCTTTTCATAATATTTTTGATGAGGTTAATCTCACACCTCTTTTTATTTTCAGCGAGGGCTCTTGCCATATGTTTTAAGATGTTAGTTGATGCAAGGAGGTTAAAAATCCGATTTTAACGTCCTTGTTTATAGTAATATCAACATCAGAGATATACCTGATAAAAATTAAAAACATTCATTGGTCAAATAGTCAACACTCACAGTCATGCTTACATTCAATACTAGGGTACAATTATGTTGCAGGTCCTTAGCTAATATATTCTGAATCAAATATATGGCATTGTATTTTTTCTTTCCCCCAGTCAACTCATGCAGTTCTAGTGCTCAGAAACAAATAATTACATTGATGACGCCTGTCAATAATTGGTCTACTGCCCACATTTTTACTCTACGCACATTTGTTCCAAATGTATCACATGTCTAGACACTGATCTTTTTTTATCCCTTGCAAGTACTTTCAAACAAAGCAATAGAACCCAGTAGTCGAAAATCTAGAGCTTTGCTGAGCTGTTTCTTGTCAAAGGGCACTGTAGGAAATAACCAGATTGTACTTAAGGACAGGATAGCTTTTGATCCTGTTCTACTTAAGCTGAAACTTTTTCCAAGCACTTGATTTGTTTTCTCCATGTGCTGTGTGACATAAAAGAAAAAGCTTTGATATAAAGCTGTGTAAACTAGGTTGCTGAAAAATAGTGCACGGAATCCGTTTTATCTCTTAAGTACCTTCAGGCAGCTATGATGATTTCATTCAGAAGTGTTTATGATTTTTGCTAGTCATTTTGTCTTCTCAAATTGCATTTTATGCTGGCTATCATATATACATGAATGTATATAGCTATATATATATATAGCTATATTTACCCATACATATATATACACAAACTTGTTCCCGGATTGTCATCAATATAAATGCCAGTAGTTTGCATGAAAAGAGCAGCCAGTCAGTAACCCAGTCTCAGGTGTGCATTGTACTTCAGTATGGAAAAAACATTTGGCCATCTGGACAGGTGGCATCTCAATCTGGTACTTGTCTTCCTAACAGGTTGCTGCATCCAGTCTTAAGTAAAACACTCAGTTGTAAAACTTACCAGGAAACTGCTGAGTTGACTAACTGATTCATACACTTTTAGTCATCCTTCCTACAGGGAATTTTTTTATATCACCCAGGAATTGGATGGTACACATTTTTTTATTTCACATAGTCAAGTTGACCACCTCTACATAAGGACCAACTGGCCCATGAGACGTATTGACACAAGCATGTCTATAGTGACCACTTATCCACGTAGACCCTGGATGGGCCAATTTTGACCTAACTTCAGCACGTTTTCTAGAAAAGAGCAGTTAAGAAATGCAAATGTCAGGTACAACATTAATGAAAAATGTCTGTTTTCTCAGGATGCGGACCTGCAGCAGAAGTTGGATTTTGAGATCAAGATGCGGGATGGCACCACAAAGCTGCTGCAGGCCTGCAAGCACGAGGCCCAGGCTGTGGAGGCTGCCAAGAACCTGCTCACCTCCAACACAAGGTCCGACAACTCTCACTGGGTTACTTCATCCATCAGTGTTACATGTAGCTGGTGTTTTCACTGTGCTAAAACTGTTAAGGAGTCCATGTATCATACTCATAGCTAATCTTCAGGCCCTTCAAATGTCAGAGAAAAATCTTCAGAATGTATGAAGTCTTTATGTTCTTACATATTACAAGTTAGAGGTCAAGTACATCTGGAAAAGGTCCAGCTTTCAAGCATTCATTCAAACATTCAAGTTATAATAACTTAAATCTACAGTTGGACAGTGGTGGAAATTCCAACAAGCCCTTTTTATCAACATTTTTTAAATGTTATACCAATGATAATCCTTTGAAAATGACATGCCAATAAGAATTATCCTCCATGTGTTTCCCATTTATTCTGAAGAATGATGGCGTACATGAGTGAACTGCAGAGACGTAAGACAGCAGAAGTGATGGGGAAGGAGAACTCAGAAGCAACCAACGGCCATCTGATCAAGGAACCCTGTAAAGCCAAGGTGGCTGTGTCAGGTAAAAACCTTTGTGTGGAACATGTCAAGGCTTTAAAAGACATCAAAGGCTTGAAAACACATCAAAAGTTTCCAGGTCTAAAAGGCACAACAGAGCAAGTTTGAAAAGGAAGCAACTATAACTGCCATTTTTTATATCTACGTGTATTTGTGATATCTAAAAAATTATGCATACATGTAGGCATTAGGAAAAATATTCTATTCTTAACTTTGCTGCTTTTTTGCCTTCCCCTGTCCAGACATTCGTATCCCCCTGATGTGGCGTGAGACAGAGCTGTCTAAGAGCCGCGGGGAGGGCCGTCGGTGTGCTGTGTTCTGTGTGCTGAAGCAGGGACTGAACATCCAGGACACACAACTGGTGCATGTGGACAGGACCATGACGGACATCACCTTCGAGGACATCATTGTGTTGTGAGTCGTCTCACCTTCCTGCATCCCTGTCTCTAATATCAAAAGTTTTGCTTTGTAGGTTTAAGTTTTGCATTTCTCAGTTTTGATGGATATTGGCAATGAATTGTATAGGATCATTCTTTTCCATAGATGTTAAGGAGAGATGTTAAGATAAGAAATTTTATGTTAGCTAGTACCTGTTTTTCATACGAACTTATGTCATTGTTTTCTCTTCCCAGTGAGGATGTTGTGCATGACTTCTCGCTGACAGTAGAGGTGTACTACACCGTGTTGGAGGATGACCTGGCCTTCGCCAGCACTCCCAGGAAGATCAAACACAAGATCAACAGCATGTCTGCCTCCATAGGCAAGTCCATGGGCAAGAAAGTACAGGCCTATCTGGTAAGTTCTTCACACCAAGACGTGTTTATACCAAGCCAACGTTTGGGTGAAAGAGCAAACTGACTGGTTCTACTCTGCTCTGCAGCTAGGTGGCAATCCCAAACTTGACTGTCAGATTTTCTGATCTGTACCTTAATAGGCTCCTTAATCCAACAAGATAATCTGTTGTCCTCTCTTTCTATCACCTTTCCCCTTAGGCCACACCAATTTAATTTGCTGGTTCATGGATTCTCCCACTTAATTTTTTCCTAATTTGAACAAAACAAACTTTCAGCCCCTAAATCAACTCCAAGTTTGGAAATTTTAGGAAATTGTTAAACATTTTTAGCAAACATGGTAAGCATAGAATATTACCATACATTAAATTGTAGCATAGAATATTATCATACATTAAATGTTTTCCTGTTTGCATTTTAGGAAAGATCAGACTCAGCCCCAGGAACCAACCCCTGTAACATGTAAGTTAACATGTCCTACTTGTAAAGAATTCAATATCAGTAATTAACAGCTGTAGAACTCAACAGTGTTCTGATTCAGGATTAATTAGTCAAAGTGCCAGATGTCTTTTGATATGTTTGTGTTTTTGTTTCTGTAATGGACCAGAAAATGCTAATTTTTCCAAGCTGAACAGTTTGTAATTGTAAGGTCATGTTTGCAATATATGAGCAATACTGTAATAACCAATAATCTTGTCTTCCCATTCAATCCTCAGAGGTCCCAAGTTTCATCTTGCTGCTAGTGTGGAACTCAGCCTCAGAGATGCCAGTGACTCCATCAGAACACATGACCTCAGTGTAGGCTCAAAAGGTGGGTCACTCGGACTGTTTTCCTATAGCTATGAGTATGACCACAAATCCAGTGAGAAATAGACAGTTAGCCTCATGGCTACTCTCCAAGCAGAGGTATGGGTTTTGGGGGTATTTTTAGCGTGTTTTTAGCCTTTTTTATCGGGGTTTCTCTTTTGCACTGAAAAGTTGGGTTTGGAGGAAAAAAAATTCAGTGCAAAAGAGAAACCCCGATAAAAAAGCCTAAAAACACGCTAAAATACCCCCAAACCCATACCTCTGCTTGGAGAGTACCTCATGGCTACATGCCACTTCTTGTTTGTATACACTATCAGTAAAGCTTGTTTGCTGGGAATGACTGTCACACGTTTGGGATCAGTATCAGGGGCTGATTGTTGCATTGCAGAGAAGATCTCAGTCCTTTATAATATGGAATGTGGACTATGCAGAGCTATGGTACAACATTTGTCTAGGAATGTACAGATTTGTTGATCACAGCCATGGGTCAGTATTGTGACCTACTCACTTATGACAAATATTCACTTATTCCTGGGGAAGGACATGCTCTTGGGTTTACTCTGTTAGCTCACTTTGCACCACTTCTACCGCACTGCTGTTGTACACAATTTGTGACTTTGCTTCTGTCCCAGCTTGCTTTTCATGGACAATTGACAGAAGAAAAGGTTTGAACAACACAATTGTCTTCGTTTATTTGTAAGTTTTTAGAAAACTTTGACGTTATTCAGCCCCCTTTCCAGTAGACGGTAATCGCTGAGCGACCATACATCTACAAAAAAATTTGTTCTTTGTGAAATCTGTTGAATTGAGCGATCTGTCAACTCTTTGGCTGCTCAGCAGTGGCAGCCTGTGATTTTAAGGGGGTGTTAAACAACATCCCCAGGTTGTTGACAGTTATCAGTGATGCCCCCTATCTGTTTGCTTGTGCCCTGCAGACAGTAGTAGCCATCTCTCCCTGTATGGGAATCTTTGTTGCCGGCTGGCCGTCCAGCCCAGGTGCATGGTGGAGGAATGTGCAGCAGGCTTCCTCAACTTACAGGTACTGCAGCTTTTCTCTCTGTTCCAGGTGTTTCTTTACCTGCCAGGTGCTTTCTTTGTATTATGGACAATCGTATATGGTACATGATGTACATGTACATGTACAATGTACATGTATGGTATTAGACATGACCTAGTTTAATGCTACTAGGTTGTTTAATATATGAGTGATATTAGCAGAGTATTTGATGTAATTTTTCAAAGGTTGTGGGTTATAATAACTGAATGTTTTGTTTCTTCCCCTTTTTCTTACTTTGTAAAGGAACCAGCAAATGAGGTAAAGGCCCACTACTTCAGTGTTCGTGCATGATGAATCTTGCAGTGTGTTACTTAGATGATATAGAAGAGGCCTTGGAGTAGGATACTCTTTCACAGTGATAGTGATATGATTAGGGAGTGGCCTGTATGGATTTAGCCACAGAAAGGTTGCTTATGGTTGTGCCTCTTTTTTGCAATCTTGGCAAAATTCTGTGGTTTGCAAAGAAATGCATTTCACTCACACTTTGAGTGTAAGTACATTTATACCTAACACTAGTCATGGAAATTTGACAACACAACATAGTAGAAGTACTGCATGGTGTGTTGTGAGATGCATGGTTTGCAGTGAGTTGGGTTTGTTAAAACTGCTTACATGTAAAAACCTGTAAGAAAACAAAAGGCTGTTTTTCCTGTACAGGAGATGGTGGGTGGGCTGCCCAACTGGACCCGGAGGTGGTGTGTACTGAAGGGGCCCTACCTCAGGACATGGGCGTATCCTGAAGAAGTGGAGGAGAAAGAACCACTCCTGTCATTACACATCAGACAGGTAGGCATGTCTGAACTGTTCAACTGTTACAAGGGCTTTACTATCCTTGCAGGGTTAAGAGCTAACATTCTTCTACAGTTGTCATGTCCAGAATATGTTATTGTATATCTTATATCATAATGCATGGGAGATGAACGTGTGAAATTTTAGGTTCACAAGTTGTCATATACTAACTTTGATGTCAAACCTTGGTGAAACAACAACATTCCACCCTATCAGGACACACGAGTGGAGGAGGTTGACAAGATGATGATGAAGAGACCCAACAGTTTTGACGTCATCACCCGAGTGTCCGGCGAGGACCAGCCCCATATCTTCTCAGCTGACACCAGGGAGGACAGGGACACCTGGGTACAGGCCTTACAGCGCCACTTCGCTCATGCAGGTCAGCAGATTTCCTCACCGTCTAGTTGTTTGTTTCTATTGTTTGTGTCAGGACTTGAAATACACTTTAGGGATATACATGTAGGTGCACTGGTGCACGTAATCTGAAAATTTAGGTGCACAAAAATACCAGCAAAACCTAAGAATGTACAAAACTCTTTAAGTAATTACTCTTGACTTTTAATTGTGCAACATACTGGTAGCATTCATTAACTGGATGGTTACTTAGGTTATATATTTAGTACAATGTACTTGTATTGCTTTAGGCTGTATCTACTGCTTTGTATGTAATGATGATTGTACAGACTTTGTTTTGTGTTGTGCAATATGTGGTGTACCACATGTGTTGTTATCTCAACAAACTCCAACTCCCTGTATGTTTGTGCCTACAGAAGCCTGGCAGCAGGCCTATCACTGTATGATGCCCATCCACATCCCCACACCCTGCAAGCTGCCGGCTTTCCTCAGGAAGGGTTCACTGTACGACGACCTGTGTGAGTAAACATCAGGATTCTCTATTGCTTAGGTTTCCTGTGTAGACCTTGAAAACAGTTTGGCATCCTAGCTTGGGCAGTTTGAAGTACACATCTTATACTTGGTTAACATGTATAAATTGCTTGACTCAGCATATCTGAATTGTAAACAAAAGCTTTGGTCAAAAATTTTTGTTAGGTCACATTGTCAACATAGGACAATAAATCATCTTATGTCTCATCAGCTTGCTTCAGTACATAATGGACATTTTATATAGTTACTGGTCATATTTTGCATGTACAGATATACTAGACAAGGCAATCACAGATGGCAGGCAAACAAGCCCCAAAAAATCAATACTTTACTCCACAGTTACTTGTTTGTAGTTGAAATTTTATAAAGAAGACCTTACCCCCTACTGCAGCTGTGGACTCACCCACCAAGGATTCAGTGGAGTTCTCCAGTGAGGATGATCGGATATCCCAGAGTTCCCTGGGCTCCAGAGGGTCGGGGGATGAAGTCTTCAACACGTCAGAAGTGATGATGGCACCGCCATGGGCGCTACTCTTCCAGGTAAACACCTGTTATTTTATCTCCAAGTAGATGTCAAAGTTGTAAGTAAATACCCTATACCTGTAGGCATGTAGAATGTAATACAGAAGGGGGTGCACAAAGGGTTGAGATAAGATAGGGTCAGGACTCAGGAGGTAGGAAATCAGTGAGAGTTTGGCTGTGATTAACGTGAATTATGATGTATCTAGAAAACATGTAAAAATGACATTATTCAATTTAAAACGTTGCTGTCGGTACTTGACTGAAGGTTTGAATATTGAATATCAAAATGGCAGTGAGTAAATCCATGGTATTGTATTTTTCACAGGGTAAGGCAATAAAAGTGACCAAACCCAACGCAACTACAGATGACCAGCGGTCAGCTGAGGTCAGTACCAAGCCGGTGCCGGCTGAGAGACGACTGGTCCAGCCCAGGACAGACTCCACCAGTAGCAGTGACTCTCTCCCTCCTGTGAAGCCTGTCCCCTCCCCTCGCTCTAACAAGGGGACCCCCGGCTCAGCCTCCTCACCAGAGTCAGGAGGGAAACCCCGGGAGAAGCCGGTCCCAGCTAAGCGCCAGGTCAGGGGCACGTCCTCAGGGTCAGACTCATCCAGCACAGAGCAGAGCTCAGAGACGACGGCTAAACTCCCCCGGCCACGGGAGCGGGGAGGCAAAGTCTCAGGGTCAGAGTCGTCAGATGACGGCTCTAGTGGGAGAGGGAGCATCTCCAGTGGATCAGGTGCTACTAACCCTCCTCCTAAACCCCCTCGGGTGGCAGGGGGGTCGACTGGAGATAGGTAGTCACTTTGAACCTCCAAGTAAAAAGATAAAGTTTATGCTTCGGCCTTCCTAAACAAAGTCTTGATTGACCTTAGATTACAGACTGTTACAGCTGCACATTTGAACCTTGCTCTGTCAGGAACAAGAGTAAAGGGTATAACATTGGTTTTTGCTCAAGTGAACATTTGATTCTGCAGAATATTGAAACGAATATGTCCAGCTGTTCTTTAATACATCATAATCTGTACAAAAGTGAGTGCAGAATTTTGTTGTTATATATACTAATCGACTCATTAAAAAATTAAAAAAAAAAAACAAATTCGGCTGGCCTAAACATTTTGTAAAATCTCTCTGCATTATACAGGTTCATATGATAGATTCATGCAGAACTGTTCCTTCTGGAGTAGTACAAATCAGCAAAACCTGGCGCCACTATACAAATAACAACCTAAACATTTGGCCAAGTGCGTTGTATCCCTGACAAAGTGAACTTTTGAACCTGTCCCACCACAAAGAGTGCACCCTCTGAAAAGTGCTTGTTTTGCATTTTGACTTTGTTCCTGTATAGCCGTTAGTACAAACATACATGCCTGCTGACAATAGATTTCAGAGCAGTGTTGGCAGCAGAGAAATTTAACTTACTAAATTAAGAAATAAATCATTTATGACTTGGGATTGCCTTGTTTAGATGATAGAGAATGACACTGTAGATATGTATGAGTTCATGAAACAAAGGCTTTGAAAGGTTATTGGAGAGCAAGGAGTGCTGTGTCTCAGGCAAGCTTCCAACAGCAAATTTGCTCACCATTTGATGTGAAAATCTAGAGTATTTTGTTGCTATCCAAGTGCTTTATATTGAGGTGCTAGTTTAAAAGCAAATGTCACAAATTTAGATAGCAAAGATAATCATAATGAATAGATGTTGTAATGTAGACAAAAAATTAATATTTTGTACTTTTCACCTCTGTCCTTGTTGATATACAGTACAAAACAGAAGTCCAAAGATTTCTCAGCTAGTGAACTCGACTGTAAGTTGTACTTCAGTGGCGTACTTCAGCAAAGATAATCATAATGAATAGATGTTGTAATGTAGACAAAAAATTAATATTTTGTACTTTTCACCTCTGTCCTTGTTGATATACAGTACAAAACAGAAGTCCAAAGATTTCTCAGTGGCGTACTTCAGCAAAGATAATCATAATGAATAGATGTTGTAATGTAGACAAAAAATTAATATTTTGTACTTTTCACCTCTGTCCTTGTTGATATACAGTACAAAACAGAAGTCCAAAGATTTCTCAGCTAGTGAACTCGACTGTAAGTTGTACTTCAGTGGCTTAAACCCTCCAAGTGTTTTCTGGCACTTGGAGTGATGACACCGTAAAGACTGTTTTAGTAAGGACTAGGTCACATAATTCTGTGTAATGTATTATTGTGGAAAGCTAACATTTTTTTCATCATGTGTGCAATTGTATCATGTTGATGAGATTATATCTAAGTGCCTGTTTTGTCCTGTCAGATATAGCACCAAGAAGCCACAAAATGCTGAAACTTTTCCACGAATTTGGAGGTGGGACAGATTGTCCAAACCATAACATTTTTGCACAATTTCTTGCTTATGATTTTTCCCACCTGAGAAATTTTGTAAAACTCAAAACTATAACCTCAAGTAGAAATTGTATGAAATGATAACTTTGTACAAAATGTATTGTCATGAAATTTATTTTTGCATTCTGTAAACGTTTCTTTTTTTCTCCATTGTCAGTGTTATAAAACAGCTTACTCAATGTTGTATAGCCTAACAACGTGCTGCCATGCAGCAAACTCTGCCAAAAAAGTTACAATTGTATAGGTAAAACAGCCACTGAAGCTATGTGTTTCTTAAGGTTTGTAGCAGCAAGTCTGTTGACACTTCAGTATGTGAATAAACATCTTTGTGACTGGTTTATGTTTAACTAAGGGCTGTACCTACTGTGATATGTGTAAGAACAATTAATACATTAACCTCTTCTAACCAAGAGAAATGTTCTATTTAATGTACATTCGATGTTATGTTTTAAAGTTCAATAAAGATGCTTGCAGGTACATAATTTGGTGTACTGTATCCTTTTCTACTTTTCTTTCTCCAATGATAGGCTAAAATCAGACTGTTTGTATCTCTCATTCCAAAACAATTTCCACATCAGGTCATTCTCAAAAATATGTTCAAGCAAATAGAACTGCAGAGCATGGGTCTTGTAGTATATTCTGACATTTGAACCATTTTAAATGTATGGTTATTTTCAGACTGACGACAGCGGTGTCCTACAGGTAGATGACATGTACATAGATCTGTACATGAATGTAAAATTTGGATCATGATTTTGGTTAGATTAGAAATAGAACAAGCACTTAAAGTTGTGACGATGTACCCCATATTTCTGTGGTACACGTTCCTTCACGATCACTACAAATGTTACGTCCACACTTATTTTACGTTTCCGCATTAGTTATTATAACTCTGCCTTCAAATAATGTCCTATGGATAATAAATTATGACAAGTCAGCAAAATGCGCAACATCAAGTTACTGTGTTCACATCCGACACAGTCCATTCATAGTCCTCACACGTTTCACCACACTTCATTGTGGTTCACAAAGCACGCATTGAACGAGTTTCATGTTTCAAGCTTGTTTTCAAGTCACTGTGTGGAATCACAACAGCATATATGTAAGGATTATTAGGTCAAGAATATATCTGTGACGTAAGCTAATCGTACAGCGTTAGCTTTCTTCCTTCCCACTGAAGCACTTAACGAGGGCTCTCGTGGATCTGCTCTTTATTCCAACTTTATAGGCGTGGTCTTGGTGCTTCCATGTCCGTATAGGCCCCATATGAGGACGCCTATTGCGATCACGCAACCAACAACAGCCACGACCTTCCATTCGTGATTCCTGTCCTTGTTCTTTCCGTGTCGGTGCCTGTGCGACCGACCGCTGGAGGGGCGGGAGGGCCTGGGAGTGGTGGCGGCGGAGACGTAGCTCTCCCGCCGGGAGCTGCGGTGGTGGTGGTGCGCCGATCTTCTGCGCCTGAAGCCGTCCTCCGTAGCGGTCTCCGCTTGTGACTGACAGTAGCTCATGGACGTCATGTCCCACCCCGTCATCGTGGTTGCCAGACTGGAGCGACGAGACTGCGGCTCCGATCGGCGGGGGTGCACTTCCAGCTCCCGTTGGTACTCCTCCAGCTTGTCCCTCAAGGAGGGCATCCGGACCGACCCGGGGATCGGCCCGCTGTCGTGGCGGCTCCGCCGGCGAAGGTCCAGGATGCGGGGACGGTGGTGCTCCCTGGAGGTCCTACGGTGACGACGATAGCCGGACCGAAGCCCCTCGGCCTGCAGAATCTCATCGGCCAGGGACACCTCCCACTGGTCCGCCTCCCCTCTCTCCGACCTGGCCCTCCGGTACGGTCTCGGTTCTTCTTCGACCACGGACGGCGCCTTGAGGCTCGGCAGGGCTGGGTCCTTCTTCAGGTCGAACTTCTGCCTCGCGATTTCTCTGGGGAACTTCTCCCACCCCTTCGGAATGTAGACGCTGTCGGAGAACTGCGTGCTGCCGTCCCGCGAAGACTGCTCGAAGGACAGATCGGCGCTGAGGTAGCCAGAGCTGACGCGCTGCTGCTTCTCCAGAGATCCGGAGTTGTCTCCGTCCGACTCTTCCGTAAGCCCTTGGTCGTGTTGGTACCCGTCATCTTCGGTAGTGTACCACACTCCTCCGTTCTCTTTCGTGTAGGGGTACAGAGTAGTTGGGTACTCATAATGGTCCCAGCTGTCTTCTTCGGCATCGTCGCGGAAGTTTGGGTCGTCTTCGTCGAAGAAGAAGAAATGGTGGTCCCCTTCCATCGCCGGCGCCAACGCCGCGAAGTCGTCTTCCATACGGTCACATGTCTGGTCGACGTCATCCATCACGGCATAGAGGTCGTGAAAAGGAACGTCTTCGTCTCCAGTTTCCTCGTCGCACGTCTCGAAGTTAAGGAGATCTTCCCGAGACTTGTACTTGACGGTGACGTCTGTGACGGCGGATGACCTGGGTTGGCCCAGCGTCAGCCCGCCCGCCTGCCATTTCGCGATCAGTTCGAACTCCTCTTCCTCCGAGAGCGGGCCTGCGGGCTTCTTGGGCGGACTGAAGGGTGGCAAGCAGCCCGGTAACTCGTCCTCTTCTTCCGTGTCTGTGTACAGATCTTTTGTTGTCATGGCTTGTGGATGTGAGAGGTGGTCAGTCGGGGGGACACAACCAGGGGCCTTCCATCCTCGGACCTCCGCTTCTGCCCGTCCTGAATACGAAGAAAAATAATCGCTTTAGTAACTGTTTACATTTTACTCCAGCGTACATCAGAGATATGCACAAGTCTAATATAGCTTAACTGTCCAGCCAAAGTCGTATGTATATATTGATTGACGAGAGGCAGGTAGCGGCGGTATGTTACATTCTCAGGATTCTATATGAAGTTCAAGTCCATGGCAGCACTTGGTGCCGGGCTATTTTTGAAATATGGGGGTCAAACGCCTCTCTTATATTTCTATCCTTCGTGTCGTGCATTTGGTTTGGTTTCACATCTTGTGCCTGCGCAATGAACCGATTCTTAGCTTCTTTTTGGATGGCCAGACTTACTATTCGAGAGAAACAGACTTTCCTGCCTTGGTCGTCAGATTCGTCGTAACTAGTAGTATTATTTTAAGGAAAAATTTTCAAGGCAGACAGTGGTAACTTTTGTAACAGGGCATATGAATTGCGTACGGCATATACGAGTTCACGATTGTCCCAAGATTGCCCTCACTTTGCGGTCCCAAGGCATATGCGACCGGTCTCAGAGGTGTCACGTCTCTTTTGAAATCGTGATGACAACAGAAGGTCACAAAACGTATACGACCTTGAAAATGAAATGGTTTGCAAGATTGCACTATATATCGATTGCAGGATTGAAGTCATAACACTACCCCTGGTTTTACGAGTAATTTCATTCTAATGAATCTATATATATGAAAATGAGCAGACGCAGTACTTTGACGTCAACCGGCAGCGAACCATTAACAATGCTTATATATATATTAGCTTAAGTACATGACTTGACTCAAAACAAATACAGTACAATGGTAATGTAGATCCCGGCCGTTTGACTCATACGTCCTACGTCATACGTCCTAATAAACACTTCAGAATCTCATATCAATTGTAACATACGTGTAACAATTGTTACATATTGCCTGAACAATTCTTCTCTTGACTGAAGAAAACCTACAATCAAAACCACAAGCAGGCCCGGCAAAACCGCCTGCGTCAAAAAGTACATGTTAATCTGTTGTAACTGTGGTTGACCTTATCGGAATCTAATCAAAGAAGGCGTAGGCTATAGGATAGCATTAACATAACGCTATTGAACTGATCATCTACTCTAAAAACGTGAACGTCGTGGGATAGGAATCAAATGACTGAAGAACATACTCGGACTACTACTATAGTTTTGAAGCAGCTACATGTAGTTGCTGGTTACCGACTTTTGTTTAGGCAGTACCCGGATATATGCGAAGGTCAGTGACGCAAACGACAGTCGCGGACTTGACAAACATTGTGTCGTGTTCGGTAGAGCACCAAGGTTATTTCTAACAGATAAGCTCACGTTTTCCGTACATTTGGCCACCGTTGTCTCTTCAACTTGCCACAAGAAAAGCATGATCAGACAAACATGTCCCACAGAAAAGGGACGGAAGTAAATACAGTAGAATAAGAATACACAAAAACTGTTTCTTATGCCGACCACTGACACGGCTGGCGCATGTTCACGGTTAGAGAATGTAGCTGCGCAACCAGAGTTTGGCAATTCTAAAGTTGAATCATTAATTAACTAGTCTGATTCTCAAAGGCCGTGTCGTTTGAAAGGTTACAGCTAAAACATTTGTATCGAGGTTGAAAAACAAATGCAGTGTGGAGCAAAACGTACAGTAAGTACAGCAACCGAACATGTTTTTCTTTTTTTAAATAGAGTCTGAACCAGGCATTTGTTACGAAGTTGTAGAAATGACCAGAAAACGCAGTATGCATGTAGCCAAGCCGATCTTATTTCTTTACCCACATGTACAGTTGTTCTTCAATTCAAACTAGTTACATAGGAAACCACTACTGTACAGTATGGTCCAGCACCCTCCATCATCCGCTCCTTTTTAGTGTAGAAAAAAACGGCAAATTGGTGCGAACGGTGAAGGACAATATATGGATCAAGTTGTTATACTGCAATGATGCCTTCATTTCTATGCACCGCCGCAGCGCACCCTTCCGTCCGCTAGTGCACACGTATATTTCATGTTACATGTCGTGATCAGCTATACTGAACAAATATAGGGCGTGTATAGGTGGGGATTGGGCAATAGGGTGACGTACTGGTCCATACCATATTCATATATATGATATATTATGATTTTATTCAGGAAGTTCGACAACAGGTAGTCTGCGACAAGGATAATTTCCAGTTCAACACTTAAAAATGTAAATAGTAAACAAAAACAACATAAATGTATTTATTCGTTACAACCTTTGTAATTTTGCACACACAGAATAAGAACATGTCTTGCATCTTTGATTGGAGTAAGAAAGTCGGACTTACCATTGATAGAAGAGCACACTTTGCACATCTTAGTTCACTGAAGAAACACCGGCCGGCGCGCTGTTCTGTTTTCCCACCGACCACCCTCTCCGAATGTCAACCCGGTAAGAGAGCCGGCAAGGTCAGAACTTTGTCTTTTGTAACCAGCTTATCAAAGTTTACATTACAACCTGTCCGGACCGGTTACCAATAGGGTAGAACGTGCGACCGTGACTTTAGTGGTCAGGTGACTGCTTCTTGAAGGGGTTTTGGAGTTCCTCATAAATAAAGTTAAATAAACGCATTCTTTCAATTCCGCAACGTCGCTATTTTTTTCTTAATCATGTAGATGTGGTACAAATTTTTGTCACGACTTGGTTACAATCTGTGACTCCCTCTAGGAGATAGCGCATCCTCTCGAGGTTTGGAGAAAACCCTATGCATACCCGCCTGGTAAGACATTGTGCGAGAGAACACAGGAAGGCTGCCAGGGCCTACGTGCGCGCCACCATGTCTGTATATTTGAACAAGGACGTACAATGGGCACGTAGGATGACGACAGCGCCGGCTGAGGTTGACCCGTAGACTACATTCAAGTACCCGACAGCAGGGTAAATACATGTGTTAACAATGGTGGGCGTGTGTCCTGAGCTTGTACCAGGCTCTGTCTGGAGGTGGATACGTAGGTTCACTATCGGCAATATCACATGGGGGAAATGATCGTTTGAACAAGATTAGGAGACGTCGCACGATAGAACGGAGTTTTAAGTTTTCGCAAGAACATTATATGTGTTCGGAGGGCTAGGGGAAAATGGTACCAAGTACAGACTTGATTTGAAAAGCAAGCGATGTCGTCATGGAAAGATATTCCCAAATTCCCGTGAGCACGCCTGTCTTTCAGAAATCGTGCACTGATAGGCTCTTGTTCAACACGTGTACTGTTTGTTCTTATCTATCCGCGTTAACTATCGTGATTGACAGTTTAATAAGTTGTTTGAAACACGAGGATGAATTGCGTGCTCAAATAACGATCGAACGTTTATTGTTCAAACAAGAATTCATCAAACTGTCAAAGCTATTCTTCTTGAATATTAATACCCATACACACAGTTATCATCACTGAGAAATCCTGGAGTTCAGCACTCCTTTTTGTAACATGCAATGTCACTAACGTTTTTTTCTGCCATATTAGACATTTATAACCCACTGTACTTAACGCATGCGCATTTATGGTGAATCTATAATTGATTGTCCTTCATTTCATCACAGATCAACATTATCCTTTTTGCTAAATAGACTTATTTCAAACAAAAGCACAGTTAAGTTCACATATCACGGAAGCAAAGTTTTAAGGCAGTGGTGCCTATACATGTAGATACTAAGTACAAAAGGATAGTGGACCCCCAAATGTACAGTTCAAACAATCTGGATCATGTACTTGTGAATTCGAAGGTTGATTAAGGCTAATTAACAAGACTGCAAAAGATTCCTCTTATAGTCATTATACTATATACACACCATAAGGGACGGACATAGAAAAAGCATTGTATCACCCCCAATTAGTCAAATCAATAACTTCACTGTTTTGATATGACGATCTCTGATGTGCGTGAGAAATTCATCTATTTATCATCCTGTATATTGCTAGGCAAGTGACACCTAGAATTCCGGCCACTTGCAACACCGTTGCACTGTCCACTCCTCCGCCCGCATCTTTCTCCGTGGAGGCCTTTTGGTGGGTATCTTTGTTGGCGTTTCGGCTGTTGTTTTCTTCTGCAGTACGTTCGGGAATGGTGTGGCGGCGCTGTGAGGTTTGTGGTGTGCTGGGCGGTGGCGGTTTGCGAGGGCCGACGTCTGTTGGTCGGTCTTTGATATTGTGGTCGGGTTTTGAAGCAGATTTCGGCGCTTTGGGTTTGTTTGGAGAAGATGGTTTGGAACATGAAGGTAAATCTGTGGGTTGGGCATCAGCTGGGCTGGCGTCTTCAGTATCTTTCGGAGCAGTTATTTTTACAGTTCCGCTGATGTTCGCGTGAGACGCTTCTGCCATGTAGTCGTTCATGCCGTCACCGTTGTCGGACGGCTGCACTGGCTCTTTGGGCTCCGTGGCTAGCTCGTTTTCTCTCCCGTCACAAACAGTCGCCGCCGATACACGCTTGTCAGCTCCTGATATGAACACCACCCCTGTCGGTCCCAGGCCAGGCGGATCTTTCGCGGATTTTCCTTGACTTTCCGCTCTTGTGATGTTGTCGATCTTTTGTAGCGGCTCAGGCCTGTCGGGTGGGGAAGATAACTCGTTGTTCGGAGGCAGTGCTTCTGTTCCACCGAGATTCCAATGCTCTTCCACGGAGTCGTGAAAACCTGGAGGGAGTTCAAAACTCGAGCCGGAATTTCCTTCGCCTTTCCCCCCATCCGAGCGATTGCCCTCTGCCCCTCTTGCATCGTACTCTTTCTGTATCAAGAATGCAATGGGTGTGCTTGAGCGACCCGGTTGAACGTCAGACTTGAGATGCGCCTCCTTCATCTTGATCTTCTGCATTTCTTCTTCTTGGATTTCCCTTGTCCGCGCTCCTATTGGCTGAGGCGACCCGTCCAGTTTTTCATCCACCGGTTCTTCAAACAGCGCAGTCGGCTCCTCTCCCACCGCGCCGTCTCCGGTGTCTTCCGTCGGGTCCTCCTCCGCATACGTCCGTCCTGGCGCTCGGTGGCCCTCATCTACTCTTCTCCTGACGAAGACGTCGACGGAGTTGACGCCTTCCACGGAGAGCATCTCTTCATCCTTTTCGTCTCTGTCGTCGCCGCCATCTTTCTTCTCTGCATCCTCCTCCTCCGTCACCACCACGCCTGTCTGCCCGTGGTCAGGCCGCTCGTGGGGCTGTGTGTCTTGGATGGAGAAAGGTGCGACATGGGGGTCTGGTGGGGAGTTACCATCCGTGGGTCCCTGTCGTGACGGATCGGAGCTCTTAAGGGGGAACAATATTAACACCATTAGATTTTGGCATTTTCTAAATGGAAACGTGTAAGAATTATAAACATCATCCTAAACATTGTGGAGTGGCGTAAGTTCGCCAGGTCACTGCAGTTCCAAGAACATCGGAGTGTACCGTTTCGTCCAAAGCTCAATACAAAATCTCTGCATGGATGAGCCAATATATAACAATAGGACAGTGTAGAAATTTATCACATCAGCAGAGCACAGTAATGCCCCGCGATGAGAACAGTGGTCGACATTTGTTGTATGGCGAATGATAAAACAGCATTCATGATTTAGTGAAAGTATGTTTTCATGTTCAGACCCTGACACAAATGTATCGTCCTACCTGTTGTGCTTGTTGTGGTGGCACCAAACCAAAGGGCGGGTTCTGAGTGGCCGACCCTGCAGCCGCTCCATCCGTCCTGGGAACTGTGGCGGGAAAGAGATGTTATAGAATAGACTGATCCGGCTGTCAATCAAAAGTATCCATGAGGCCATATAGAGGACAATGTTCAGCCATTTTGTCCGTCATTTTTGTAGTTACATTACACTGTCGCCACCTTCCCGTCGACTACGTCAACGTTGTAAAGTAAGACAGTGCTAGTATCAACAGCAGAGGCCACTACCATCCGCTGTTTGACATATTTATTACTCCTTCCACACTCCAATCAAAAGACTATTACTACCCACAGTCAGTGATTGCTACCTGTGTGACCGGGGTCCAATGTGTCGGCGATGTCGTCGTGTCCAAGCTGAAGAAGTGCCCGGATGAGAATAGGAAACCAGCCTCTCTTTCTCTTTATCTCAGACAGCAGTTTCGGCACCGCTGTGGTTGAGCCGTAGTTCCTCTGCTCGCACGTGATCTCTTCCTAAAGTTGAAATACACAAATAAATAAAACTAAGACTAAGAGATTGTACTCTTATGTATCATGTAAGATATGGGGACGTAACTCCAACCCTTCTTTCTGAAAGTTAGCACCGCCCCCCGTTTCTGAAGGCTAGCTGTACTGCGCCCCCGGGCCCGTCCCGACCACATGTCCCAAGTAGAAGGTCGATACAGAAATGACAAAATTTAAGAATAATTAAGTTTCATGAACTCACCACTGCCCGTTGTGTGAGAATTTCCTTGAAGTAAGGCAGCATTTCTTGAGGATTTATTTTTCCACACAGCATAGGTTCGTGTTTGTTGACAACATCCTTGTACACCCGGTCTGGATCCATGAAGCCAACCATGTTCCGTCACGTCACCATCCGTCAGAGGCAATCAGTAGCTGTAACACACAACGTCATGTGTTCTGTAAATATGAAGTTACTAAGTTACGTGACGGCTTGTTCGGAACACGGAAGTTCCTGTCATGTAGGACGATTCTTCTTCCTCTCAGGCTGCGATGCCTACATCGTAACATAGCCCCATATGTTACATCGACCGCTAAATTCTATTTCTAGTTTGTATATCGATATAGCTGCTATAACATGTAGCTAGATATATATATCAAGCAGGAAATTAAAGTTGGCACAGACGACTGAAAACTCTCAGCCTGATGGTGTACTTCCGCAATTGGCACGGATCCCACATATCGGTAGTAATACGTCCACTGAGGTAAGCTGTGCCAATCTCTACATAATGGTGAGATTATATCATTATTCGTGATGTCCGTAACGCTACACCCGGTTTAAGATTTCTCTGTCTACACCCGGTTCAAGATTTCTCTGTACATGCACATGCCCCACGTATATGGTGGCAATGGGGGATCGGAGGGGCTACCGTATTAATACTATTATCACTGTTGTGACATATAACGTTGCATGTATACAGTTTGTAAAGATCATTTGATACATTTTAAGATTTCAACATTATTCAAAACGACGTATTTCCCTTACAGTGTTGCATCGTGTCACACTCATGCACTCTACACCTGTCCGTTACAGGGAAGTCATTTCGTCTGCACTCACTCACTCACTGCAACCCATGGCACCTTCAACGATTACCTTACAGCTGCACACAACGTACCTGTACTTGAAACAGCGTTTCTCAGTAGTACATTATCTGGGTACACGTGTTGCGTTTCTCACACAGACTAACTCACACAGGTGAGTCAGAAACCCACCTGAGTTGATGAGACCTACTGTGGCTTGCTGCCCGGTCGCCAAGTTCCCTCAGACAACATACACAATTCAGTGACGCGATAAAAATCCCTCTGGCGGTAAGTCTGTGGTCTGTAGTTCTCGGGTATTCCCCTATGAGTCACGAAAACGACAGCCCACGCTGAGTTTCGTACCAACACATTACCTTATTGGGGACCTTCACTGGGTTTCATATCCTCCGCCATGATCTTCACTATACAACATGTCAGTGACGCGGAAGTGTGACCTTTGCACCTAAGCGGGGACGTTAGAGGGGCTCGTTTGTTTAATGATGGCGCCACGCGGCCGAATTACTGACGTACGTATTTGGTTTACAGGTTTGAGCTAACTTCCAGAATATTCCTGTGTCCTTCTTCAAGCAGCGCAAATTAGATGTACTTTGTGTTGTTCCATTGTACATTATCATAGAACAACATAGTAACCGTTATAGCATCACATGGCTCGGGGGGTAGATTGCAAATGTCATGATTACTCGCACAGCATAAACTCAGGTTTAATATACCAACAAGGAGCTATCAGTAACCGTAAAGCATCCTTTCCCCAGCCAAAGAGGTCCCTGTCAGATTTACAGGTGTAGTGCCGCCCAGCGATGACGTAATGGACAACACTATGGAGTCGAAACTGTTATCGAAACCACAGAAACAATTTAACTCCTTGGCATTCCCCCTTCCTCCGGCCTTGCGCGGTTTAAAATTGTCAACGTCCGGCTTGATTGAAAGCTTGAGCGATCAATGTAAAGTGTTTTGTTATTGCTGATAAATATTTCCAATGTATTCTCCCAAACAGGGGCGTTTGTGCTTGTACACACATTTGCTGTCATTCGTAATAAAGGTAGCCGAGCATTTCAAAAACGATTCCTCCCACACAGATCACTCTGCTAGGTAGTGTTACAGGGCGGAGGTTGTTTGATCACCCTATAGAGGCAATTTCGCAACCACAAAAGGTCACCTATTGTGCTGTGGTACCAATAAGAGTGACGTACACCGAAACTGTAGTGGGGAGCCCCACACGATCATGGGAGACCTAAATATACTACAGGCGCTGGTTGGTTGCCCAGTTTCGGTGTACGCCTTAAAACATCAATAATAGATACTTAGATATTTAACGTCACATGTTGGAGCAGACTGCTGTAATTGAGAGGCGGCAGGCGGGCGTTGCAGACTGACAATTCAGAGCTGTACTGTGCAGGCCGGATACGGAGGTGTTAGGTATAATGCCAGGTGCAACCGGCAGCATGGACGTCCCTCCCACCGGGGACGAACTCGGAAAGGTCCTCCTGGAGGCGTTCGCCCCACTACTGAAGGAGACCGTCATTCCGAGCACCATCGTCGTCCACCTTATGGGTTTCTTTAACAACGGTACGTTATATGGCGTTCAGTTGTGCTCTGTGTGGACAAGTGGTTAATGTTTCACCTTTTGCAATGCTCCTCTTCCGGGTTAGCGTTACATACGTGAATGCATGTGACGCTGTGTTTTCATGTAAGCAATATCACAGGACTACAGACTGGCGTAATATCAATCGTACTCCTTGATGTCATGTATGACCCAGAGTCAGTAACAGTCAGAGAAGGAAAATTTGAGCCCCTCGTTCATTCCTGAGAAGTTTCGAATATCATAAACATGAATCATACATACTGTCTACACAATGATTTCTCCCACTATGCTCAATTACATTGACGTTGCTACGTCACATACGCATAACCTAATGCAGCTTCGCCATACATTCTCAGTGCTGCTACTTTTATCTCTGAAACTGGAATGGACGGGGATCAGTATAAGTGATGAGTTGTGGTCTGCCATCCCTGAATACGTTGTTCTGTGTTTAGGTCTAGCTTTTGTCAGAGCGCTCATTGCTGACGAGCAAAACAAAGGACCAAACGAGGCAATGCAGGCTCTGCTGATCAAACTACAGACCTGTGAGCAGCCAGGCTGGTTTCAAGCGTTCCTGAACGCACTGGCCAACTCAGGTAGCTAATATAGTTTCTCTCAACATTAAAAAAACATGTTTGCGTTACCGTATGGTGTCTAATTATGTTATGTCAAGACAGAGTATAGAGTCCAGGTGATTTGAATACGGGGAACCCCCGATTAATAGATATACTCTACCTGGGGACTTCCACAATTCCCATTGACGTCACAGGGAATTCCCGTCCACGTGCATTCTTTTGTTAAATACGAATTTCATAACCAAGAAATGTGTAAACTGGGCAATGAAAATCTGAAATGTCAGAACAGTCACATTCCTCATGGTTAAATGTACACTTACACCGGGTTTAAATCCCTCAGGGTACGGTCATATCAAGAACATCATCGAGGGTCGAGAGACAATCCAGGACATGACTGGTTTCAAGCGCCTCCTACAGCTGTGGGCGCCGCAACTGCAGGTGGTTGTCGCCATGGAGATGCTGCCACACCTTCCCTGTCTTTCAGACCAGGACAAGGTACGTACAGGCGTACAAGGTACGTACGTGTTCTCGTAGCACTTTTTTTGTCATAACACGTTTTGTGCTCGAAAAAAAAAGGTCTTCTGTTTTACCATTGGGTCAATCGGCACTGGTATTTTGATTTGTGATCCATTTCTACCAATCCATGAAACGATTTCAGGGAAAGTCCGGACATTTTTTTATTCATTCAAGAAAATAACAGAGTAGTATATAGTCGACACGCTGCTATTATTTATTCAGGCGGTGCAGGCGGTGCGAGGCGGTGCGGGTCAGAGGTCACCGCCATTATGCTAAGGATATGCATATGTATGCAAATGTAGACGAATGTATGCAAATTTTTAGCTAATGAGCTAAATTGCGGGTCAGATAAAGGTCAGTGTGCACTTTTGACCCCGGTAACCTGGGAAACCTGTTGTCAAGGCAACGATTTTTGAAGGATGATACCACGCCTACCGACATTGTTACTTTGACAGTAAGCTATTCAACATGACAGCGGGACCGTCGGGATTGCATCATGAAGTGGGGGCGTGGTTAAAGTCAACGTCTGTAGTAGCTGATTGGCCGCATGGCAAGCGTTGGTGACTTGTTCTGAGGATCTGGAGTAGTCGATTGGTCTGCATGTACTTTACATGTGAAGTAGGTGACGTACTTCACGGCGATTGTTGGAAGGTCTGCGAGTGTTGGTCAGAAACCTGTATAAAGTGGCAACAGAAACCGGCGAGAAACCAGTCCCACTTGCGAAGACAAATCTACGTCCAAGTCCAAGTCTGTCGACAGCGAGCGAAGATCGAGACCGAAAAGCCATGGCACATCAGCAGAAGAAGCAGCAGCAGAAGCGCAAGTCCTCACTGGTGTGTGTATGTGTGTATGTATGTATGCGCGCGCGTGTGTGTCTGTGTATGTGTGTGTATGTATGTATGGGTATGCGTGTGTATGTGCATATATACAGTATCGATATACATATATCGATATAAACGTGTTGCTCCGGAGTAAAATATTACTCCGGAGTAAGTATATTTGGAGTAAGATATTACTCCGGAGTAACTATTACTCCGTTTGGAGTAAAATTTTTACTCCGGAGTAAGTGTATTTGTAGCAAGTAAGTATATTTGTCATGGTTGTCCGTATCGTGTATCCTCACATGCATGATGTGTAGATATATCGTATATGCATATACATAACCGTCGGAGTGTGTGCGCGCGCGCCTGCGTGTGTGTGTATCTAGG